GACCTCCAGAGAAGGAGACTCCACAACCTCCCTGGGCAGCCTGTGCGAGRGCTCTGTCACCCTYACAGGARAGAAGTWCTTCCTCAGATGGAGATGGAACTTTCTGTGTTTCAACTTATACCCATTTCCCCTTCAACTTATACCCATGCCCTATCGCTGGCCACCGCTGAGAAGAGCTTGGCCCCTTCTTCCCTGCATTCTCCCTTCATGAGCTTATATATGTTAATCAGATCCCATCTCAGCCTTCTCTTCTTCAAGTTGAACAGACCCAGTTCACTCAGTCTCACCTCATACGAGAGATGTTCCAGTCCCTTAATCATCTTTGTTGCTCTCCGCTGGATCCTCTCTAGGAGCTYCACGTCCCTCTTATACTGGGRAGCCCAGAACTGCACACAATATTGTCAGATAGGATGGGATGCACGTGCAGGTGCTGGGACAATTGACAGGCATTATTGCTCATCCACTCTCTATCATCTCAGAGAGRTTATGGAGAACAKGAGAGGTCCTGGAGGAAGRGAAGAAAGACAAAGTTACTCCAGTCTTCAGAAAGGGCAAGAGGAGGATCTAGGAGACTACAGGCCAGTCAGCCTGGCCTTCATCTCCGGAAAGTGATGGAGCAGCTCATCCTAGAGAGCATCTCTAGGCATTTGAAGAAAAAGAAGGTGATCAGGAGTAGTCAGAGCAGATTCACCAAGGGAAGTTGTGTTTAAACAGCCTGATGGCCTTCTGCAATGGGMTGATGGGCTGGATGGTTGAAGGGAGAGCAGTGAGCGTCATTGTCTGCCTTGACATTGGCAAGGCTTCTGACACTGCCTCTGGTGAGGCCGCACCTGGAGTATTGTGGGCACTTCTGGGTTCTCCAATGCAAGAGACACAGGGAATTTCAAGAGAGGGTTCAGCGTAGAGTGACGAAGATGATTAAGGGAGCAGAGCATCTGTCGTATGAGGAAAGACTAATCGAGTAGTTTAGCCTAGAGAAGATGAAGAGGGGATCTGATCAACATGCATAGCTGAGGGGAGGCTGTAAAGAGGATGAGGCCAAACTCTTCTCAGTGGTGGACAGTGACAGGACAAGGAGTAATGGATTATAAATTGAAACACAGGAGGTTTCATCCCTGTACAGGGAAGCACTTCTTTACAGTGAAGGTGCCAGAGCCCTGGAACAGGCTGCCCAGGGGTGTTGTGGAGTCTCCTTCTCTGGAGATCTTCCAAACCCACCTGGACACCACCCTGTGCCACGTGTTCTAGGTGTCCCTAGGTTGGACTAGATGATCTCTAGAGGTCCCTTCCCACCTCMACCATTGCGTGCTCCTGTTTTTCCCATCTTCCCACTGTACAAGCGAGCGCCATACCTAATGATTCGTGGCTGTTATTTGCAGGGCCCCACTGTTAACGGATTTATTTGTCATTTCTTGTAATAACGACGGCGGTAATGGGTTCATTTGTATTAATGCAGGCATCGTGGACTTCCGTCGGTATGCGGCGTTAATTAATGTACCATTAAAACAAAGTGTCACCCAATTAATACTTGGGAGAAGTAGTGTTGCCGGTGCCCCATTGTTAGGACTTCATTTGTGATTCCTTGCATTAATGCTTTGCCTAACGGAAGTCATTTCATAGACTTTTCCTGGTTTGCATTTTTAATATGCAGTTTATCCAAACTTTCAGACCACTTGATGGGGCATCTTCTGGTGGCATCAACTTGGATGGGGGCCTCTCTTTCACTGTTGCCCATCTGATGTCACTTCTGGAAGACAGATCTTTTTAAGTGCATTACCAAGGGGGAAAAGGGAGCAAAAAGGAGGAGGTTTGGGCTGCGGGCCCGCCGCCGTCCCAGCTGTGTTGATAGCGCTCTCCAAAGCCCCTCCGTTGAATTATAGCTCTGCGGTGGCCGCGCGCCAGGGTCAGCCCGTAATGAGGGAGGTTGCGTGGCGGCGAGAGCAGCCAGCGGCACGTAGGAACCGGAGCTCAAGGAAAGGTGGTGGGGAGGGGGAAGGACGAGAGAGGAGGAAAAGGACCAGTTTGGAAAATCGGGTTGTGAAATGGGAAATGGCTTGGCTGCTTCTAGGCCTAATGAAATTAATACAAGGGTGAAGGAGGGAGTGGGAGTCCGGGAACATCCGCGTGTGCCTATGGAGCTGGTGGGCACCATCCCAGCGCGGCTGTTGGGATGGAGCTATGGGAATGGAAACGGAGCAACTCGAGACAGCAGCAGGGAGTGATGTGAGGGTAACAGGCTGACCCGAGGCTCCCGGCGCCGCGTTGCTCCTTCCCTCGACCTTCAGACAGCTGTCGGGCCAGATTGCCGGCAGCTCGCGCTCGCCGTTCGCACAGGGGCAGCGCGTGTGCGCTCGCATCCTAATCGTTCCCGCTGGGTCACTTCGCCCGGGGAGGGCACACAGAGGTCCTGCTCAGGCTCGGGAGTCTATAGGGACCCCCCTCAAATCAACCTGGATTGATTCTGGAGACCACTGCGCACCGGCACGCGGTCGCTGCTTTGGGGCGTCTTTGGTGACAATCTGCATGTTCAAAGTGCCTCTGCTTGGACCATCCCTTGGTCTTGGGCTGATGGTTTGGATGGAAATAGCTGAGGGTGTTTTCCTATGTTTATTTTTCCTATTATTGTTTGTTATTTGCTATCCTTCCTGAGAGCATCTCACGCCCTCGCCTGCATCCAGGACGGGTCGCCCCGACCTCCCTTTTTTCCTGCACGGCTGCAGCCGTTTGCCCACAGGGGAGTTTTATTGCTAATGCATTTTGTAGCAGGCTTCATAATAGGATATTAAAGGCCRTTGCTGTGTCTGGAGAGGGTGGAATAAATATTTTAGAAAAGCCTTTTTTTTCCAGTAGCACCTTCCTTCTGTATTGGCCGCTCCTTTGGACAGACTTTTGTCCGAGATGCTCGTGTAGGAGCACTCTGCACAGCGTAAGGGCCTCTGCCAGCATCACCTTCTCTCCTCCAGAGCTTCTCTGATGGAAGAACAACTCGGTCCTAAAGGCATTTAGGGTCTTGGTCTCTCCTTTGCTATTTTCTGGTGTGGAGGCATCCTTTAGGATTTGACTGTTCAGGGCGTGGAAAGGGATTTTGGGGTCATTTGTTCATTATTTTGACCTTTATTTTGATTTTTGCTGCTGGTGGCTCATTGATATGGTGCARTCTCCCCATAGCTGATACATTGGGCTCGTACAACCGTCTGTGTGCACCATGTTTAGCAGGGGGTGGATGTTGGGGTTTGCTGGAGCCGTTCCTGGGGACATCAGGTGAAGGCCRGGGGCTGAAGGTACTTGGCATTGGGTCCTGCTCCCACGCACCCTCCTCCTCCTCCGTGGGAGGCATCTGTCTGCATGTTTATTTTTATCTCACATCTGCTGGCATCGTAACAAAGATTTAATGATACGGCACAATTTTGTCACCCGCTCCTTTTTTTTCTGCGGGGAGTTGGGCTCCATCGCTGGCTGCCAAAGAAAGTCGAAAGCTTTGCAAATTAGAAAAGATCAAGTCAGACTCGGGTAGAAAACTCCCCTGTGTTTGCAATGCRACCCTGCCACACTCCTTCTATTGCCCTCCAGGCTTTGAGGTCCCATCCTACCCCCCAGCAGCATCTTCCTCCTTCCAAGGGGGACCGTGGATATTAGTGAGACCCAAAGCCATGACCTCCATGTCCCTGCTGGAAGGACGCGGCCGCCGGGCTGGGAAATGATCTCTCTTCAAAGGCTGCTTTTTGGCTATTGTAGGAAATACAATGCCTGGGAAATGGAACTCTGCTCGTCCCCGCCAGCCCCACTAGAATCGCGGGGATTTGCATGTTAAAAGGGGTGGCTCAGGGCACTTAAAAAGAGGAGGAAATATTCATCAAGACCGGCTTGAGCCTTATGAATGTTATTATTCCCAGGGACAAGGGGCTTTAAAAAACACCTCTCCAGCCATGCCTTGCAAGGCTTTGCTTGAGGAAGGAGGAACAGTGAGGGAAAAAACAAGATGGCAAATGGAAAATCTGGCTGGGACCTGCACCCTCACACCCCAAAGGGGCACAGAAGCAAGGAAAGTGTTGTTTTGCCCCAGTTTGAGGCATGTCTGCATGTCAGAAGGTCCCAGTAATGCCATGGCACATCTGGAGCACTGTCCCTTGTCTGGGACAGTGCTTGCAGATGGGAGCATCCCAACTTCCCTCGTGTCCAGCCAAGTTCCTCGCAAGTAAGCATATTATTAAAGCATATTATAAGGCATAGAATAAGCAGAAGAACTTGTCCRGAGGAGCGACTCGGCTCCCCAGCAAAGACTTTTTGCTCGTGCTCTTGCGTTTCTGCCTCTGCCTTGGCGGAGACAAGAATATGCATTTAAGATTTGCATAGGAACATGCAGCTGTTCCACCCAAAATGGATAATTGTTCTCCCCGCTGTGAAGTTAAACAATAAGAAGTGCCAAACTGCATTTGCCATTGCTGATTTTGTGCTCTCAGCTGCATATTTTATGCATGTAGATTAGTTACAGATTTACGACAATTTAACTGCTAATGCCAGTGTTAGTCGGGCCAGTTTACAGTTACTGTGGAAACTGTAACTTTTGAGTTTTCAGTAAAGTTCTACTTTTAATGTTGCATTTAATGCATTTKGAGGGATGCTCTTATATTTAGTTGTGTGTGGTAGAAAAGGCAAGTGAATCAATGTTGATGGTAAAAGTGCTTAGAGGTAGAAAACAAGTTTCTGCAAAGAGTAATTTTGGGGGAGTATCTGGGAAAATAAGGGCTTGCGTTAGAGTGCTATCTTGACCATAGCTGTATGACTATTATTTTAAGTGTGTAAAAGCTATTATAGCTCTGCAATACAGTAATAAAGAAAACAACCATATAACTTATAAACATCCAAAAAATACAGGGCAGAAGTTCTGGGGTCTCCCTACGTTGGTGGCAAAGGAAATTGCCGACGTGCTCGTGATGGGGAAATAGGCTGCTGTGTGAAAGGTTACCAATCCGCAAGTATTTTGCTGCTTTTATTGGCAGAACACCCCTGTGGGCACCCCGATTTTCATAGTGAACGCCACGGACCCGGACCAGGGCGCCGGCGGCAGCGTGCTGTACTCCTTCCAGCCTCCTTCCCGCTTCTTCGCCATYGACAGCGGCCGCGGCATCGTGTCGGTGATCCGGGAGCTGGACTACGAAGTGACGCAGGCCTATCAGCTCCAGGTCAACGCCACGGTGAGCCCAGCCGGCGGGAGCGGGAGCCTCGAGCGCGCTGAGGATAACGGCAGCGGGAATGAGCATCCATCCCGGCCGTAAACGCAGAGGCCCGCGGGTTAAGAGGATAATGTACAAGCTGTGTTGTTGAATACCGCTTAAATTATCATTAATCTCCTGGCAATCAGTCCTCGCCGCTGTTCGGCGCCGGTTTGCAGGAGTGTGCGGTAACCTCTAATAGTCTCCCTTTTGCCGCGGTGCTTGGTGAGGGGGGCAGACAGATTTATTTCCTTCTCTGGGAGTCTTATCTCCTCTGTGCCCAGATTAGAGAAATCCAGGTCTCCGTGTAGCCACGGGCTCCAAGGGGATGCAGGTACCAGCATCTGTGGGCACCCAACCCTGGACTGCTCAGTGCCCAAGGATATGTCTCCATATGGAGGCGATTTATGTTTTGATGCATTTTCATGCGTACCAAGTTCCAAATGAAAAATGAAAGATTACAGCGGCCCAATAACTCTGCTCCTCTCATAGAAATCCTTCCTTCATGCTCTTTGTTTGCTTGCTTGTTCGTTTTTCAAGGACCAAGACAAAAACAAGCCGCTGTCCACGCTGGCCAACCTGGCGATCATCATCACCGACGTGCAAGACATGGACCCCATTTTCATCAACCTGCCCTACAGCACCAACATCTATGAGAACTCGCCACCGGTAAGGGCTGTTTTATCCTTGGGGGTCTTGCAGGCTGGGGGCAAGGATGTCCAACCCCAGGGCTGGGTTTAATCAGCCGCAATGGTGGTACTCAAAGAGGAGCCCAATTTCCAAGCCTGCAGATGTGTTGGAGCTGGGGGAGAAGATTCCCAGGAAGGGCTGGGCCCAAATGGCACAAGCTCTTCCTTCTGAAATAAAAGATGTTCAAAATGACTCCATGATAATTTTGCCTTTAAAAAAAAGAAAAAAAGAAAAAAAAAGAAAAAAAAAAAAGCAAGCTAAGAAGAAATAAACAACCCAAAATCAAAATACAATTTTTTCCAGGGTATTTTTTCCCTAAATTCAAGAAGGCATTTATGTTGTTTTCAGCAAACCCTCATTCCCCTTTCCCCCRCGAAACACTGGTGCATGGCTTTTCAAGCGGAGAAAGTTGGAGAGAGATGTAAACGCTCCCGAAACGAGGCAGTTTTGACGACGCCGGAATGATCGGCCATTTCAGCTGTTTTTCCCCCAGGTTTTGCCAAATTGATCCAATCATTTCTGAGTCTTTCTGAAAGTTGAGGGTGGTTTTTTTTTTTTTTTTTTCCCCTTTTATTTTGAGCTCCAAGTGCTCAAAAGGAGRTGCCGGTAGCGTGCGGGGCTGTGGCTTGTGGGTGATGCCCGTGATGCTGCCTCCGGGTACCGCTCTCTCCCTCGCCCTCTCTTTTTATCTGCGGCGCACAGCATGTCTGTGTCACTCTATCTGTGTATCGGGCGAGAATACCCAATCTGAAGTGTATACATTACCTAATAAAATCCTTCTTATTGGGGGATTATTGCATCAAATTTTAATTTCCTCACTCGAGCAACAGCATGTCAAGCCAGCCCGTCGGTGAAGAGCCGATAGAAGGTGAAAAGAGTGGATAAACTGCAGCAAATTACTGCAAACAGATCTCTATCAGCCCTTTGACTGGAATTGACTGGAATTAAGAAGTGCGAAATAGGATTTTTTTGCTGTGGCAGCTCACTCTCCTCCTCCACCGGCTCCTCCTGCCCGGATGCCGGGCTGCGCTTCGCCTTTCAAGTCCCTAATCCTATAAGGGAAGAAGAAGAAGGAGAAGACGACGGTGGATGGGGCACCGATGTAGCTCTTCTTTTCCCTAGACCAGGATCAATTCAGAAGCGCTTTGGGCATCGAGGAGAAAGAGATTCGTTACGGGGCAAAGGCAGGAGGATGCGGCAGGGAGAGGCTGGGCCTCCCCTGGGGCTGGAATTGCTGCTCACTGGGAGATGGGATGAGTTTATCCCATGGGAGCCACACAGGATGGGGAAAGATCTGCTTGTCTCCGGCTCCAAGAAGGGCAGGAGAATTGCCTTACAGTCTGGTACAGATCTCCTGAAATGATCATTAAAACACTTTTAATTCTTCGGCACCATCCCCCCTCCCCTCCCCAAGCCTCTTGGGCTAAAGAAATAATGTAGAATCAGTGCTATTTTTGCCCTAGAGTCTCAGTAGCTCCRAGTTAATTCTCTCTTACAATATTTCCAGCCCATCAGTGTGAGCACTTTATTAAAAGCTCAGGGTTTTATTAAAAAAGGATTGATTTACCCCTGCCCCTCTTCAAGAAACCCTCAAACTTTGTTTGGATAATGTGACATTCTTTATTTTCCTTGTCTATTTTTTTTTTAAAGCATAGACTGTTCCAGATTATTGCTTTTCTAAATCTGCTCCCTCTTTCCCTAGAGGGAGAGTGTCACTCTGTGAAGGTGTTTGAAGACCCCCCACCCCAATCCTTACCCTACAGTCACTAGTCGCTGTTGTCCGTGGTGGCCAGCTGAACTTTTCCTTGCTGCAGGAGATGTCAAGGACTTTGGGGTCCGTGGACCAGTCCACAACTGGTGGGGAGAGCTACAGGCCAAGCTGTTGACGTGGCAAGTCGACTTGTGAGACCTGGATCTCACTGGAGATGGCAGGAGCATCTTCTCCRGTTTAGGGCTAAGGGAGCTGAGGGGTAGCACCCTTGCCATCCTTGCTTTATAGTCATTTACCACTGACTGTAAAACCAAAAACCAACTACACAGAGAAGTCCTTAGTCCTCTCCTCTGCTTGTTCAACCACTTCTCAGGAAGCCGTCTGAGGGGGAAAGAGAATCTCACATTTTAACCCAAAATACTCCATGGACGTTCAAAGGGCAACCTTCCATTCCTCACAGTTTCATTCCCTTCCTGCTTCTTTTCTGCCCTGTTCCTCKCTCTCTCATCTCTGGCTCCCTTATTCTCATTCCCCGCCATTTCTCATGTGTCTGAGCACGGAAAAACGCTGCTGTCAGTGATTTAGCAGCTCTTGGGCAGGCGCTGAGCCTCGCCAGCCGAGTGCCGTTCAAAGGGCAGCGACCCGGGATTTATGGCTGATGTTCTCCGTTAATAGCCTGGATTTACTTAAGGAGTCTATTGAAATGGCTCCGTAGATGCTTGGGTGCTGGGACAGCTCTRCCCGGCCCTGAGAGCCCCATTTTCGGGTCACTGCTGCACCCCGACCTGATTATAAATCGCAGAACCTTTGAGGTTGTCCAGGGGCACCCAGCAGAAGCACCAGCGCTTGGTCTCCAGCTGATGGATGGCCCAGCAAGGGCCACGTTGCTGTCCCGTCTGCTCCCGCATTAGTGATGCAAATGCCTCTACTGACATTTTCTTGGAGGGCAAAAAAAAAAAAAAAAAAAAAATCGCTGCTTTTCCCACTGTTAATCAACCAGTGAAAACAAGAACAGCTGAGTTGTAAATTTTTCCACACTACATTAATTTTGTGTGTGTGTGTGTTTGTGTTCGCCCGGGCTCACTGCAGTGCAGCAGGGGAAATACAGCGCTGATAGAAGCGCTTAATATTTTTATTAAAAGACCTGACGACAGCTCTTGACCCAGGTCTACATCCTTTGATGTTTTGGGAAGCTCTTGACCTTATTAAGCTTTCCATGGGATGATAAGAGTCTTGGTCAACACATGCATCCCTAGTGGCCCAGAATGCCTGGTTGAAGGAGGCAGGGGGAGCAGAGGACCTTTTGGTGGTCCAGTGGGCAGGCAAATATGGTGCGTTGGCTATTACTGGGGCTAGTGAGGAGGAAGAGCTGATGCCCAAGTGCCGGTCTTGGTCRAGCTCCGGTTTGTACCATTGCTTCCAGGTCCCCTGCAATCCCCGTCTCCGCTTGCTTCCCTCCACAGGGCACCACGGTGCGGATGATAACGGCCGTAGACCAGGACAAGGGCCGCCCCAGGGGCATCGGCTACACCATCGTCTCAGGTGAGTGGCACGGGTTCTCCCTGGGGCTTCCTGATCAACTTCTGGGGTCCAGGTGCTTGATGCCAAATTTGATCCACATCCCTTGATGCTGGCCGGAGACAYCCAGGTCAGCCTGCCTTTGAAGGTGCAGAGATGATTTATTCCTCWAAATCTCCTTGCGATTTATTCTAAAGTCCCCTGGCATGAATTAATGGAGAGCTCAGAGGAGCAGAGCTCAGGCCAGAGCGGGAGGAAAGGGGGTTCTTCTCCAAGACGAAGGTATTGATCTTCAATCACCTCTGCTGGTTTGGTGCTTGGGTTTGGAGCAGAGACCCAGTCCTGCTCTCAGTGAATCATGCAGAATGGGTGTCTGCCCTTCCTTGCCAAAAGGCTGCCCTCCCTCTCCCCTTGCTTGTGTGGCCGTGCCAAGATATCATCATGTGCTTGATTCTTCCTGTTTCTTTGGCCACCTTGCATGTCCATCTCTCCTGCAGCAAGATCTATTGGAAGCAGTTGAGGGCTCTGGGGCAGCGAAAGCACCAGGATTTTGCCTGTGTAGCTCCCACCGGGTGCTGAACCAGTTCTGGGTTTCGTGTAGTCTGTATTTGAAGGCTAGAATCTGCAGAAATAGTTTGTAGAGGACTAACCTGTTAAATGCACGGATCAGATCACTATCAAAGGGCGCTCAGCTAGAAGGTCAAGGCTGATGCATGGCAAGCAAGACCCTGTATCCCGTATTTCCCCCCGGAGCACACGCCAGGGCTCTGTTCTGCCGTACCTCTCCCGCATTCCCTGCGAGAGAGCCACGATGCCGCTCCACAAGCACTCGCCGAGAGARTCTTTCGGTGGCGGCACCGCGGGGATCGGCAGGCAGCCAGGTACGTGCGACCACGCTCGCGTTCGCTCGCCTACGCCAAGAGCCTAATCCCCGCCCCAGGTCTGGCCCGGCGGGGGGCAGCTATCGCGGGAGAGGATCGTGCAGAACACATCAAAGGCACGAGCGATTAAACCGCTTTGCATCCGATTTTGCCGAGCTGGGGACGGGAGAATYGCAGGGTGTTTTGCAAATCGGCCGGCGAGGGAGGGAATGAACCGATGGACACGTGGATGGACGGACCGACGGACGCCTGGCTGCCTGGTTTCGTCTCGTCTTCTCCAAAATCCGTTTTGCCCAAAGCAAGTGCTTTTTTTGGCATCCAAGCAAAGGTGAATGAATTTGTGCTGTCCTCACTCCCGATGGTAAAGGTCAGCGGGCAGCTTTTGTGCCTGAGCTGGTCAGTTCTTATGGTGATTTTGGAACTGGTAGGAACCAGAACACAAGTTAAATTAGAAAGTGACTGCAAACAAAGGTGAAAATGGCAAGTAGAAATCATAATTTCACCTGGCCCTTGGGCTCGCATTTGGGAGGAAGAGGATGGCAGCATGAGTCCCATTCCCTAGGTGGGGAGAAATCTCCCCCTCGGGTTTTAGCGCCTGCCTGGGATAAGCAGTGTTGAAGACGCTGGGATGTTTATCATTCCTTGGGTATTAACAGCCCCAACATTAGCATGATTTGGAGGTAGGAGACAAAGATTAATTTGAAATTGCCGTTGTCCTTCCTGTCGCCAGCCCTCTGCTAGCTGTGCGCTGGTGCGCACCTCGGGATATACTGCCGATGCGCTTATTTATATAGCTATCTCCACACGCAAGGTTCTCCTATGACAGGAAAACAATAAAACTAAAAGATTAACCATAACCACATAAAAATAAGACTCGARATCTGACTTTCCGCAGCCAGCTTACCAAGCCGTTAAGTCTGAAGTCATGTGCAAGCCCTGATGAAGCAGTGTCACGTCTCTGGCTAGACCTGGTTGAGTTGTCCTGTGGTGGCAGGAAAGCTTGCCTGCCGGGGCCCAGTGCCTGGATTTATTTCCATCCCTTATATGGAAAAATCCATTAAATTGTCTCTCTTCCTTTCTCATGGTCAAAGGAGTGTTTGACTCCATGAAAACACATGCTGCTTTCCAGGCGCTTTGCAAGGAAGACCATGGAGCGAAATGGCATTTAAGAAGAAACCTCAACTGGAAATGCAAAGACCAACTCTGTAACACCCAAAGCCACCAGAGAGGCTTGTCCTGTTGCTACAACTGAGCCGCTGTCCCACTGGGATCTTCTCKAAAGCTTCTCTCATTCATAGCCCTGTTTTGGGGCACACAAGGGCCAAACTCCACTAGGAAAGCTGGAAATTGGGTCAACATGAATAAGAGCAGCAGAGAAAAGCACTGATGTCTGAGCCTGGGTGAACCAGGAGGCTCYAGCGATGATGCTGGGGATGGAGGTCCTTGCTCATTCCTGGGGAATGGCTGTCCCAAAGGAGAGCATGGCTAGGCACCAGCCAGTGGCTTGCCCTTGCTCCAGTGCATGAAATCATCCCCTCGCTCTGAAGTTCCTGGGCTGTTTTGACAGGTTGGAGGTGTTCAGCAGCTGAGGTCAGGGCTCCCTTTGAAGGACAGATAATTAATCCCGCGGCGAAGTAATCCACGGGGCCTTTTTGGCAGATTTATGGAGATAGCCTCTAGGCCGGGGACTCTGCCTCATCATCTTTCATTTCCCAGGCAAAGCCGGTGACTTGTGCTATAACGTGACCTGCTCGAGATAAGGCTTTTCATTTAGGGGAACTCTGCGCTCTAACAGAGATTGATTTTTCCGGGAGGCTCACCGGTTTGCAACAGGTGATGGGAAGACGACGGTGAGTGCGCTGGGTGTCCAGGCGCTTGACCTGAACTCCCTGCATCTCTTAAACGGGATATAGGAGCAGAGGGCGCGCCTTGGAAGAGCATCCTGCTTGCTTCCAAGTGGAACGGGGATGGTGATCCCTGCCAAAGCAAGGGGAAGAGGCAGCACGGAGATAGGACGGCGGGAAGGGGAAGGAAGGAACGTCCTCGCTTCAACAAGAGCGTTACGGCTTGCCGTCCTGCCGGCACGGGTTATTTGCCGTCTGTTCAGAACGCTGAGAGCGCCCAGGGGAGATGCTGCGGTGCGAGGTTCAGCATCCTTTAACGTGATGAATGGCCTCCGGATCAGGAACCCTGAAACTCCGCAGGTTTCGCTTTTCTCACCGATGCCTACGCATTGCTCCCGCTGCCTCCGGTAGCAGTTTTGTATGGCCGGTGATAAATCTCTCTGTTTATTTTCCTATGCTGGATGTTTAGTTCTAAAAAAAAAGAGAACCAGTGTTTCGTGTATTTTTTTTACTTTTTTTTCTTTTCAAATCTGCCCCAGAGCCCTTCTCGGCACAGCGCCCAGGGGCAGAACCTCAAGGTGAAGAGCAGCGAGGTGGTCACAGCAGTTGATGGACTATTTATCCGATGATAACTGTGTCTGTTGCCGGTGCTGTGAACCACATCCAACGGCATCTATTTCGGTGCCGAAGAGCCCTGACGGAGCACATTTTGATTAATAAATTATCCTGGCGCAAGGTGTGCGATGGCTTCCCCTTTCGCATCTCATGAAAGTCATTCGCGCCCAGCTCAGCGGCTCGGCGAGTCCCGCGTTTTGCGGCACTCCAGGATAAATAGCCCTTCGTTGCAGGGGTGTTTCTGGAAAAATACCTGGCGTGGTGGGAGTGGGCTGCCCTGGATGATYGGTCTCCAAGCTAGACATGGGGACCAGCTACACCTCTTCCTTCTCTGGCTTTGAACGATGCTTGGAGACCAAAGGAGTAGAGAGGAAGGAGGAGACATCGATGTCTCCTTTTTTTTCTCTTCTCTCTCTCTCTCTCTCTCTTTCTCTTTTGGCTTTGAGCCAGCATTTTTAATGGTCTTTCTAAATGGAGAGAGTTGGCTGAGGGCGATTAAGCATTATGGTCGTTGCCCATAAAACCCCTCGTCGTAGCAGTGCTTCTCCAAAAGCGATGCCCACRTTGCCACCCGCTCCTCAACGAGCTGGCAAGCGGCTGGAAAGCCATTGGCTGCTGTTGCCGTCGGCTGCTCTTAACGTGGACCGAGGATTTTTTGCTGGGTCAGGAGGCTYGTGAAGGCCTAAGGGATGTAGAAGGAATTGGATGGAGGGCAGAGAGAGCAGGGGAAGCAAAAAGCAAAATTGACTATTTCCCCACAACCGCCCTTTCTATTGCCTTGCCGTGAAGGTGAAGAAATGCGAAGGTAATCAGGAGAATTTTTTTGCCAAGGAAGCATCTCCTGGGATTTTGCATTGTTGTGTAGCGGGAGTGCAGCACCTGCACRCAGAGCTCTGAGTGACGTGTCGGGAAACACCTCTTTCCATCCGGAGGCTAATTTGCAAAGCCTGGCAATTCTCTGCAAGCAGAAAGGTGCCCCAGAGGGCACCCAATGCGTGTCTTCCATATGAAGAGTTTTTGGGAGGCTGAGCTGGAGAACAAGCTCCGATCTGCAGCCTGGGAGTGCGTCTGGGTCCCTAATTCATTTCTCCATCCTTCAAAAATGACAGTGCTCAAACACRAGGCATGCGGCAATTTTTCAAGACAGGAGCAGGGCGCCGCACTTAGTCCTTTGCATCAAATATTTGGACCATGCCTGTTGACCCGTTTCCAACCAGAAGGTTGGTCTGTTGCTTAGCACATCCCTGTTAGCAGAAGAGAGAAAGGGGGGATTAAAAATATATGTTTGTTAGGCTTTGTACGAAGGAGAGTGTATCAAGACCACCTGGCTATGGAGAATTTACAGTGGCAGCACAGCACCCCGGAGCATTTGGATGCCTAGCAGCACCTTCCAATATATCTTGCAGCGTGTCCTTCAAAGGCGGGACTGGGAGAAGTCTCGGCCATAAATTAGACCAAAAAGGTGGGAAGCTGAGACCAAAGAAGGGCAGCTGGCTCAGCTGGCTCAGAGACAGCTATTATAGCTGTTGATGTTAAAGCACGGGTCTGCTTTCTTAAAGYGACCCTTTCCAGTGCTGGCCCATGGTTGATGGGATGAGGGGTTCCCATTCCCCTCTTGCCCGGTGTCCAAGCAGCTCTTATTTTTGCTCTTTTTTTTGCCAGGTAACACCAACAGCATCTTCGCACTGGACTACATCAGCGGAGCCCTGACCCTCAACGGGCCGCTGGACCGGGAGAACCCCCTCTACAGCGCGGGCTTCATCCTCACGGTGAAGGTGAGAGCTCCTCCGTTGATTAAAATCAATAGCGAGCCAGGCAGCCACTTGGAAATGCATTTAGAAGTATGGATCTGGATGGGGGAAAATCAGTGCCATAGGAGGAAGGGTCATGGATTGAAAGGGCAATGAGCAGAGCTATGCAAGCGATGGAGCGCCCTGCACCCAAAATGTGCCTTCTCTCTTCACAGGGCACAGAGCTGAACGACGACCGCACGCCCTCCAATGCCACCGTCACCACCACCTTCAACATCCTCGTCATTGACCTCAACGACAATGCACCCGAGTTCAACAGCTCTGAGTACAGCGTGGCCATCCCTGAGCTGGCCCAGGTGGGCTTTGCYCTCCCACTCTACATCCAGGTGCAGGACAAGGATGAGGTGAGATGCCATCAGCAGTGGCCATATCTACAGTCTACATAGTCACTCTGTGCTGAATTTGCTGTGCCACTCATGCCATGTCCCCGAGCTGTGCATCCCCTGTAAGGTATCATGCGATGGATCTGCGGTGAGATGCATGGTTAGAGCCCAATACCAACTTTCTGGTGAGAACGAGTTTAGAGTCAGTCTTCAACTACTACTTCAGCTATTTGCCTAATCCTCTTTGGGCCATGGTGGGACCTGAGGGAAAGATGCCTGGCATCCTTATGTTGCATCCTTAGCTGCATCCTTAGGACGCTTTTTCTTACGATGAGGCCTCATCATCTCCATGTGACTCGATGTCACCATCAGAGAGTGATGGGTTCAGCTGGGAGCGGTGCAATGAGCTACTAAGCAGATAAAAAGACTATTTTTCTTGAAAATGTCTATTACTAATAAGGAAGATATGGATATGACAGATACTGAGGGTGGTTTCTGAATGCGGTCGTCACTGTGCTTCCTCAGAGATGTCAGCAGATTGAGGCTTGAAGGACATTACAGCACTTCTGTTTATGCCGAAAGAATGAAGGAGCTGTCATCATTTCGGGTTAGAAGCTCATTTTACTGAAGTGATTCCCATTCAGAAACTCACTACAGCCTTGCAACCTTTGCACTAAGAGAGAGATGCAGCAGAGAATTGCCCGAAGGCTGAAGGTGCTGGAGGACCTCGCCAGAGCCCCAAGCTTTGCCTAAAGCACCTAGAGGGGGTTGACTAAGGGCTTCCTTTTCCCCCAGCTCCCCACCCATCCCCTTCGCAGGCTGGTTTCTTTTTCAAGCCAAACTTTGTTGCTGCTGTTTTGGGTTTTGGGCTTTCTTCGAACCTGTTAAGGTCCTGCTTGGCCCAAAGCCCATTCTCCAGAGAGCTCCATCTGGCTTCTGGACCTTGTGGCATTTTAAAATGGTSAGATTGGGGTCTTTTTCTTGTCTGGTGGGTTTTGCAGCAGGTTGACTGATTGCTTTTGGAAGGAGGCAGATGAAGTGATTCAGCACAGCACTTAAAAACATATTTACATTGGGCAGAAGTCCGTGTTTTGCAGCCTAGGTATAATTTAGCCGAGCCGGTCCAGCGCTCCGCTGTGGCAGACGTGAAGGGCTCAGACACGGGGCACGATTGGGGTGCGGGGAGCCCGTGGGAGAGAGCTGGGCAAATCACGGGGCGCCCGAGTTCGAGGCTGCCGAGTGGGTGGCAACAATAACCCGTGCGCTTTCAAAGGCAGGATTAAGCATTATTCGTCCCCAGGYGCCACAAAAGCATCCAAACCCTGCAAAGAGGCACTCTTTGCTTTTGAAAACCTCTTTTTTTTCCCCATTTATTTCCTTCCTCGGCCACCCCTCGTGCCCTCTTGGCTCCTGTCTGTGTGCGAACGCGGCAGAAGAGGGGCGTTGAGCGCTGCCCAACCTCTCGCGGCATTTGGAAGCAAGAGGGAAGCGAGAGAGCAGGGCATGGAGATGCCCCTTTTTGTAGCACCTCGGTGGGCAGAGCTCATTCCTGCCCCRGGCGCTCGAGCCCCGATGCGCTGTGGGTCGGAGCCATGTCCCGCCGAGCACAGGGGCGAGCGGGACGTGCCGGCCCCGTCTGCTGGGCAGCTGATAACAGCGTGAATATTCAGCTCGGCTCCCGGCCATCCRCGGGGGGCGAGGGAAAGCAGCAGGGGGGGCCGAAACAACAACAAAAAAATACGTATAAATAGCAAAATAAATAAGCTACGCGGCGTGGCGGCCCTCCTGGCAGGCAGATGTGGGGCCCTTCCCGCCAGCTCGCGCGGCAGGATGGAGGCACTCGGCAGGCTGCTAATTAGGGATGGCAGGTATCTGCGTGCAGATCTCCTGGCCYGGCTGGGGGGGGGATTATTCCCCGCTCCCTCCCCGAAAGTGCCTGGGTTGTCTTTGATGTCTCCGCTTCGCTTCGCGCCTCCAACAACCCCGCCGCTCCACAGGGGCTTGCTTGGTTGTCGCTGCCGAGCGCCCTCTCTCCTCTTCCCAGGGCCCCAATAGTGTTTTCGAGGTCTATTTGGTGGGCAACAACTCCGACCACTTCATCATCTCGCCGACGTCCATCCAGGGCAARGCGGACATCCGCGTGCGTGTGGCCGTGCCGCTGGACTTCGAGACCATTCCTCGCTATGAGTTTTCGGTATGTCTGGGTACGGGGTGGGAGGAACAGCATGAGGTACATGGTTTTAAGAGCAACCGAGACCATTCCCAGGGCTTTCACGGGGGAGTTAGTGCCTCTCTCATTAAAAAGTGAGATGGGTGAGGGCTTCATGGAGGCTCCAGCTGTGCCTCTTGCTTCTCCTCTGTGCCCAGCTCTTTGCCAACGARAGCATCCCTGAGCACGTGGGCTTCGCGCGAGTGAAGATCAACCTCATCAATGAGAACGACAACCGGCCCATCTTCAGCAAGGCCCTCTACAACGTCAGCCTCTTCGAGAACGCCACTGTGGGCACCACCGTCCTCAGGGTCCATGTGAGTAGGGACATCCCGTGGACTGGCATTGCCCCATCCATGGCTCGCTCCAGGAGGCTCCCTGCTGCTGTTCCTTGACTCCTTGAGTCTTCCTAGGGCAAATCCCTGTTACTTTCCATACAGGGGGTTGGTTTGCCTGCTCCTGGCTCTCTGCTTGGCATTCCCTCCACCTCTGCCTGCCTGTCTGTCCATCCATCCATGAAAGTGTTCGATTCTGCCCGTGCAGCACGTTTATTGTAGGGATGCAGCTCATCACACACCTGTGCGGGAACATCTGGAGAGCATCACTGGAGCTGTGGAAAACCCAGCCCAAGTCACTGGCTGCACAGGGATGTCAAGGACCCCACTTAATTCAGGGTGAAGAGCTCGTGCTCCTGGAGGGCGTGAAGCCTGCTCAAGAAGTGTGAAATTCCCTCCCTGCCCTTTGCTGTTACCTTATTAAAAGGCTTCATGGCAGTTGTTTAGGGGAGGAGGGGGATTAAAGGATATCTCAATACGTGTTGGTAGCCGGGGCAGCAAGTGTCCGTGGATAAAATAGTCTGGCCAACAACCTGCTGCTCCGACGTCCCTTTGGCCTCCCATCACGATAGCCCTGTGTAGAGGCTCTTGAGGAACATCTTGTTGGGATGGGAAGGGCTTTCCGCAGGCATCTCCCCGCCCCGGCCCCCATTGGCATCTCCATCGATCCCGCTGCCCGGAGAGCCCCCGAGCCCAGCCGCAGTGGCGCGGAACAAAATCGCTTCCAATTTCCCCACTGCTTAAGAGAAAATTGAATCCTTTATCTGGAGGGAGCAAGGAGAACGGCAAGCACGTGGAATGGTAAATAGTCAAATAATCGAAGTGGAGATTGCAGATTGCCCGGAAAGTTGAACGTGAGMGGCTCTTCCTCCCTGTGCCTCTTTCCCTTTATTTTATTCTTTTTTTCTTGAAATATGCTCACTCTCCTTGTTCCTCTTAAACATCCTTATCAAACCATGCCTGTAAATAAAGGGAAAGGGAGGAGAGAATTAGCAGGTAGCAACGTGAGTGACGGACCCCGTGTCCCCATCCTCTGTCAGGGCCCAGTGCTCTCTGACTGCGTTTATCTCTTTAATCTAAATATCAATCCGCACGACTGGAATGGGGAGGGATGGGAGCCGTGACAGCCCGCGYGCTAAGGAGAGAGACGTTTATTGCAGCTTTCGCAGCCGCTCGGCGTCCTGATGGAGCTGTCAGGATAAATACACAGCCCTGGAGTGCAGAGGTGGCGGAAAAAAAGAAAAAAGAAAGAAAAACGGTCAAAAAAAAAGAACACAGCCTGAAAAAAAATCAACCCAAGCCATAAGAGGCTGGCTGGAAGGCTGCTGTCTTATCCCAGTGCTGGGAGAGGACGTGGGAAAAGCTCCGTAGCTCCCAGGGGGGTTGATTGCTGCTTTCCCTCCTACCGCTGGGGAAAAATCTCCCATCCCGGCAGCTTCCACCGGGCTATTGCATCAGCCTCCTTCTGGAAAACCGGGATAGAAAGCTGGGAAGAAGGGAAACTTCCTTGAGTGCGCTCGCTCCCGCGCACTTAGCGCTCGTGTCTCTTCAGGCGCTTCCCTGCTCAACCCCGGAGCTGCTGCGAGCGGAGTTATTATCGGGCAGTTTAAGGAGTCGTTCGGCGGCGCTTGGCGCGTGATGAATGTCAGGGCCGTTGCCGGCGCTCCGTGGCGCTCTTCAAAAACGAATCCTCCCATGTAGATTTCTGCTCCATCAATCCTTACGGCGCGTCGAGCGTCGCTCTCGTTCCCTGAACAAATTGCGCGACATGCCCTTTTCCGCGGATCCGTGCACGCCGGCGGAGCCGCGCGCCGCAAACCGGGACCCACACGCAGGGAGGCCGTTCACAGCCAAGACAAGGCCACAAAACACTCACGGGGGCCCATGGTGGCACTTGCAGGTGCTGGGACGGTGCAGAATTGCACAGCGGGGACGCGGTGCACGGGTGCCACGCGGCTGCACGCCGTAGGCAGGGCCCGCGCCGGTGACAGCTCATCCAAGAACAGCCGCGGCCCCGTGTTTCTGCACTGACCTTTGCAGGCTCCAGTGGGCAAATCCCATTTTAATATTCCGGGCAGGAGATGCACAGCCGTAAAGCCGTGTGATTGCTTCTTGCCGACGAGCCCCCGGTATCTTGGGGCCAGCTGCTTCCCGTGCCCGGCGTGGAGCGCGCCCGGCGGCGACGTGCGCCYGCTTGCGTGCCCATGGGGCTCCCTCGGAGAGGGGCAGCTGGTGCTGCAAACTGGCTGGCTCCCAATATCCTCACACTGGCGCCTGCTCCGTCCGGGCTGCTGTTAATTCACACAGGGCTCCATTTAGGAAATGTTCTGGGGGAAAGAACAAATAATAAGGATGTTTGGGGGGCTTTTATTGCACTTCTCTCATCTGAAAAAAAAAATTGGAATTTCTGGTCCTTTTGCCTGCCGCCACTCATGCATATTTTATATATTCATTAGAGGAAAGACTTTAAAGCACACATAAATCTCGGCTTGCTCATCGCGTGCCAGATGCAGAGGAGGGCCGGGACTGGGCGCTGAGCAGCATCCAAGCCTGGCTCCCAATGAGAGCTGGGATATGRGGCTGCAGAGAGGTGCCGATCCAGGTGGATTGGGCAGGGAGCAGCCACCGTCTGGGATGGATTTGTAGGTGAAATGCAGGGAGTTGGTGGAGATGCCAAGGGGAAGGACACCCAATCATGAGCARCGCAACATGAAAGTGCTGGGTGCTAAAGGTGTTGCCTCCATCTMGGCAAGAAGGTGACTTAGAATCTGCCAAGATTGCCAAGATTTTGGAAGCGTGCGTGACGCAAGGTTTCCATGAATGTTTTCACTTAGTTGGGTGTTTTTTTGACTTTGCTATCCTAGGCAACCGACAACGATGTGGGCACATACGGAAAAGTCAGTTATTTCTTCAGCGATGATCCTGACCAGTAAGTATGGACCAAAGATAACTTTGGTCCTCTAAAATCCCCCTCTCAGCTTCCCAAGGARTCATGAGCATGAGGAGTCACTGAACTCCACCCAGCGGGGGCAGCAGGAGGTGGCCATGGCCACCTTGTCCACCAAGCTGTGTGGGGATGAGCTTCAGGCTGGTGGTTCTGCTCTCTACCCAAGGGAGGAATGAGAGCTGGAGGCTTCGGCATACAGCCAAAGACAAACGTCAGGCCCAAACCAAGAGCTGGTGGCTAAACCAGTGGTTTCAAGCCTCCCTTGAAGCTTAGTGAGGGGCAAGGCAGGTTTCTACTCAAGCCATATGTCATGATTGACCAAGCTGGGGCTTCTGGTGGGGTCTCCTTCTTTGTGGCTCCTCAGCTTCTCGCTGGACAAGGACACCGGTGTGATCCTGCTGACCGCGCGCCTGGACTTTGAGGCCACGCAGCGCTACACGCTGACCGTCATTGCCCGCGACGGCGGTGGCGAGGAGACRGCAGGCCGCGTGCGGATCAACGTCCTCGACGTCAACGACAACGTGCCCACCTTCCAGAAGGACGCCTACCTGGGGGCGCTGCGGGAGAACGAGCCCTCCGTCGCCCAGGTGCTCCGGCTCCGGGTGAGCAACTAGACCAACTCCTCCACCAGGGCTCTTTAGGAGATAGGTGCCATTTCCTGCCCCTCCATTTGTTTCCTCTCCATCTCTTTCTCATCTGTTCTCTCCTTATCCATCTCTTCCTCCTCCATATCCTCTTCATCCATCTCCTCCTCCTTCATCTCCAACCATGCCCATGAGATGTTTCCAGGGGTGATGTTTCTCCCAGGGTATGATATCACTGCACTCTACTTAACGAAGCAGACAGGTTCCCAGGGGTGATGCTCTGGATGCCCCAGGTAGAGCCCATTCTGGGCGTAGGGTGAAAGGAGAGGCTGGTTTGCACTGGGACTCCAGGTGAGCAGTTTGCAGTGAAGAAGAGAACCACACCGAGGCAACTGCAAGGGAAGTGAAGAAAACGTCCGCTTTTCCTCCTTGCTTGGAGCAGCGTGCACCTCCCTCCCCTTGGCTCTCCCATGTGGCAATTCCCAGCTCTTCCCTCCTATCCGCTCTTACCTTAGGCATCCGACGAAGACTCCCCTCCAAACAACCAGATCACGTACAGCATCGTGCATGCGTCTGCCTTCCGGGAATACTTCGACATCACCGTGTCGGAGGGGTATGGAGGTAAGGGGTGCTGGCTCCGGGGGCACGGCGCCTTGAGGGCAACTGCCGGCAATCGCAGCAGCAGGTCGTGAGAAAGGGCCTGCGCCCTTGCAGTGATCAGCGTGAATCACCCCCTCGACTACGAGCAGATCGCCAACGGCGTCATCCACCTCACTGTGATGGCCAAGGACGCGGGGGAGCCACCGCTCAACAGCACCGTTCCCGTCACCATCGAGGTCTTTGTGAGTACAGCGGCCGTCTGGGCCCATGCTGGGGATAGCAGGACCTAAGTGGGTCCCGTCCATGCTGCTCTTCAGAGGCTGTAATCACATCCACCTAAAGAGCGCTTCCAAAAAGGTCACCTCTTTCTGGTTTCTTTTGTGTGCTCAGGAGGTTTAAGTAGCTGTCATGTTTCTCCACTCTCAACCAAAGGGATTTTCTCTCAACTAGGAAAAAAAAGGAAAGAAATATACAGAGGGAGAGAGGAAGAAAATGAGGAGGAGGAAGTGTTTCRCAATGGCACCTGAGGAAAAACGATGCGGGGAGGCAGCACGGGAGCAAGCGTTGGAGGATGGTCATTTTTGTCCCATCCTCTGGCTGATGGCTTTTCATAAAGCCAAACTCGCCCTGTGGGTTTCCCATTAGGGGACAAGGAGCTTTTGTGGAGGGAGCTGCTGGGCTGGCACTAATAGYGAGCACAATGCCAGCATCCCAAGGAATATCAGCACAAGCCGCTGTGCACTTGGATGGGCCGTGCTGGAGACTTCCAGAGCTCGCTGGCCTTTAAGGAAGGGTGGGCACCTCGGTGCCCTCAAAATTCTGGCTAGAGCTGCTAATGTAGCATCCTGTGCGGACCACCCGCCCCCAGGCGCTGCCCAGGCCCGGCTCCCATGGGCGCTCCGTGAGGACGGAGAGCTCGCGGGCAGCAGGAGGGAGCCGCTGTGGGAAGCCGGGCGCTGCGAGGGCTGATTAAAGGCAGAGACCGCGGAGGCTGGCGATTTAATTACAGGGCGACGGGCACCGCTGGCACGTGAAATTGCCTCAGATGCCGAGCTCGGAGGCGGCGGCGGCGGCTGAGCCTGCCGCTCCGTCAGCGCCCTGCAGGTAGAAGATGTCTGCAGAGCTGCTCCAAAACACAGTGTTTAGTGTTCTGACTGCTCCATCCTTTCCTCCGAGTTTGGTTCTTTGAAGGCTGGTGCTTAACATTGTTTAAGCAGCAATTAAAGCTCACTTGGGGCAGCTTTAAGTCGTTTCCTAACTCCATTTCAAGGAATGTTTCACGYAGTTGCTCCTGGTTGGTTTAACCAGGTCATCCATGGACTCTGTTGGAGACAATCTTGTGGGGAGCATGCTGCTAAGCAAGACAGCTTGCCTTTGTCCCTGCAAACAGCCATGAAATTCCTCCAGATAAACACAAATGGGTGAAAAAGAAGCCTATCCTGTGGCCGGGGCAGGTGGCCAGCCCTCAGCAGCCCTTCAGTGGCTTTGCCTTCTCCCAACCTGGCRTCTGGACCTTGTCTTTGCTGCAGGATGAAAATGACAACCCGCCGACATTCAGCCAGCCCTCCTACATTGTCACTGTCACGGAGGACATCATGGCAGGTAGGGGAGCTGTGTCCCAGCTCCTGCTGCAGGTTGCGGTGCTCACAGTTTGGGGGAAACAAGGAGGAAAGCCCAAAGACGTGGTAGAGCTCACAGCCTCAACAAGGCCAAGACCCGCACTTGTCTCTCCCCGACCAGGAGCAACGGTGCTGTTCCTGAACGCCACCGACATGGACCGGTCCAGGGAATACGGGCAGGAGTCCATCATCTACTCGCTGGAAGGGTCCTCCCACTTTCGCATCAATGCTCGCTCCGGTAGGCTCTGCCCTTTCCAYTGCACGTTCAGCCCCTCTCTGCTCTCCTGCTCTTGCCTTGGAAGCAGGGAGCTCCCCAAGTTAAGCTCCGTGATGGTGCCCTGGGACAGGAGGAAGGAAGGAGGCAGTGATGTGTCCTGGGGGACCTGAGATACTCAGTGCCATATGTGCCCATAGCAGGGCTGAACCTGCCCTACAGAGGTGTGCTTAATGGGATGCATTTTTGAGGACAGGACAGATCCATCATTACGACATGTGCACACTTAAAATTTTGCTCCCGTGATTAGTTCTTCCAGCCTGTGAATTAATCGGTGCCATGAAAGTATGGAAGCAAATATATTTTAACAAGACCTTTGACCTGAGCAAATCTCTCTTAYTGAGATTAATTTTGCCCCTCCGATCTCTTTGCGGGTGAGCTCTCCACCTCCCATCCAAGGGCCTCCAGAGAGAGCCATGTTCCTCACCTTTCAGTGGTGGGATGTGGAGGGGGAGGAAGATGGGACAGCTCCATTAGCCAACGTGGGAGATGAAGGGAAGGACAAGTCTTAATGCCCATTTGTGAAGGATCCTCTCGCCATTGTGGAGCATGTTGCATGCGTGCTTTGCAAGGGAAGCCACCCCTTGACATTTCCCTTCCCTCTCGCTTTCCTGGGACCACAGGGGAAATCACAACCACTTCTTTGCTGGACCGAGAGGCCAAATCAGAATATATCCTCATCGTGCGGGCGGTGGATGGAGGCGTGGGCCATCACCAGAAGACCGGCATTGCTATGGTGAGTGCTCTGCCCTGTTCCAGCTGCACCTGGACTTTCCTCGCAGCGGGGGCTGCGATTTCGGGGTGAGGGTGATTTGGGGCCATGGGGTAGCACGAGCCCTGGTGTCAAGCAGATGCCCTCACTAGAGGTGTGTGTCCAAGCTGCACTTGCTGGAAGCATTCRGCTTAGCAAAGGGCATCCCTGCTCAAAGCCCTTGCAGAAGGGCAGTCCAGGCCCAAGGCGGGGGCTTAACCCCGAAGCCAGGTAACCCCTCCGTGCACCCCGGAGCCGCTCGATCGCRCAGGGCCCTGCGTGCCCACCTCAACGCGCCCACGCAGGAGCRCGTGGGCACGCGCGGGAGCGGGCACCTCTGCCCCCCGCCGCCAGGCTCCTTTTGTAAGCGCCTCTTGAAAGCGCCTCCTCGGTGACCCGCAGGGGTGCTTGGCTATTCCTGATGACTGCTATTCAAATACTGCCCGGATCAAGGGCTTCCCACCGGCTCTTGATTCCTGGGCGCCTCGGAAAGCGCCGGTGGAGGCGGAGGCCATTGTACGGCACATTTAAACCTTCTGGCAACAGGGTTTTGCCTTGCCCCTCGCCAGCCTGCGGAGAGAGGCACCTGTCTTGCACGGATCTTACGCTCCACCTGTCGTTCGAAAGAGCTTTGCAGAGGCTTTGCAAGAGCCCTTGGGCATGCAAGCGAGTGAGAAGCCGAGGATCAATCRCTTGCTGCTCGTGGCATTGTGCCAGCTCAAAGATGCTGCAGCGCTTGGGTTCTCTTTCCCCAGGGATCCTTGGTTTGATTGAAGAATAGATGCCCCAGGCAGCAGAGCGACACAGGGAAATTCGGCACTTGTGCTCAGGAGTTCACTGACATAATTGCTGCCAGTAGCGAGGGCCTTGGGGAGCTGTATATATCCTAACAGGAAACTAGAAGCTTCCTATTGAATCTCCCGGAGACACATCCCGGCACTTGCTGGGCAAAGCGGCACGGCCCAGGGGATACCGGGTTCCCTTTGGGGCTCCAGAGGAGAGGAAAGTATACCCAGGACTCAGAGGCATTGCCTCCGGGTCCTCCGGAGCTGGGGGCAAGGGGCCACGTCTCAGGGGTYGGTGGCTGGCCTTGAGAAGCGGCACCGGGCACATCCCTGGGGAGCACAGCCTCCACATTCGCCTCTTCTGCCACGGGGTGGCACCAGCATTTCGTTCCTTGGAAGAACCATGATGAGCGGCACGACATCCCCAGAGCAAAGCGAGCCCCGGCATCAGTGCCCAGGGCACGTCCCCATCCCATACTCCCTCTCCAAAGAGCCCTTGGGTGATGCTGAGACTTGGCTCAGGAAATTAGTGCCAACAACGTGACCCAGCTGCAAGCCCCTTGGGGAGATGATGGGCACGGAGCAGCAGACSCTTCCCGTGCCCCCCGGCAGCTTTCACTCTGGCTCTGCTGGGTCTGAGTGCCACCTCATGGGCAGCTGGGCCAGCGTCCACGGCGGTGGCTTTGCTGGTTGTCCTTCCTGCAGGTGAACATCACGCTGCTGGACATCAACGACAACTATCCCACGTGGAAGGATGAGCCCTACTTCATCAACCTGGTGGAAATGACGCCCCCCGATTCAGATGTCACCACAGTACGTGCACGGGGACACCGGGAAAGGCAAGGGTTAATGCTGGGCTTGCTCTCAGAGGAGCCTGCTGGCATGGGGGAGGCCATCGGTGCAATAGCAATTCAGCTATTGGGCAAGCAGCAGGAGCCGTAGAAGCTACCGGTGTCATAAATTCTTTTTATTTCATTTTTATATGCAGATGTCCCCTGCAATTAAAAATATTGTAGAGAGAAAAATAAACCAACAAATGCCTGCTATGAGAAAAATTCCTAAGATGAATTATTTTCAAATTTTTCTAAGCAGCAGCACGAGTTGCCTTGCTTTCCATGGCAGCACCTTGCTGACTGGTTTCAGTGGAATGCAAAATTTGTACAATTTGCATGAGACTGGGCAGCTGGATGGCGGAAAGGGGCCTCCTTCCTAGTCTGCAATGGGAAAACTTGTCATGTGAGCTCAACCCCGTTACTAGATACCAGGGAATCTCCATGGTTGTGCTCCCTGGGAGCCTCAGGCTTTGCTCAGGAGCTTCTAGGTTTTCTTCCCATAGCTCAGCTTGTCGTGTCTGTCGGTGGTGGCCCCCGCGCCGCTGACCTCTGCGCCGTGTGCGCSCAGGTGGTAGCCATAGACCCGGACCTGGCGGAGAACGGCACCGTGCTCTACAGCATCCGGCCGCCCAACAAGTTCTACAGCATCAACAGCACCACAGGCAAGATCCGCACCACAGGCGTCGTGCTGGACCGCGAGAACCCCAACACCCAGGAAGCCGAGCTCATGCGCAAGATCGTCGTGTCCGTCACAGACTGTAAGCACCCACTCCTCTTGTCCCAGGCTCCTTCTGGCTTTCTATGGATTCAGCTTGACTTCTTCCCCTGGGATGGGAATGGGCCAGAGTGCTAACGCCCCAACCCTGCCATGTTCCCGGGCTCTGCAGGTGGGAGGCCACCCTTACGGGCCACCAGCAGTGCCACAGTCTTCGTCAACCTGCTGGACCTCAACGACAATGATCCCGCTTTCCAGAACCTGCCCTTCGTCGCTGAGATCGCTGAGGGCCTTCCCGCGGGCTCCTCSGTCTTCCAGGTGAGCACGGCTCATGCAGCGCATCCCTGGATGTGGATGAGGACCAGGAGAAATGAGAATTTCTCCCAGTCTGCTTCAGCCCATGCTCGTTGGCCATAGGGATGCCTAGAGGCAACTTGGCTGCTCTCTCCGCCAGGTAGTGGCCATCGACCTGGACGAGGGCCTGAATGGGCAGGTGACCTACCGCATGCAGGTGGGCATGCCCCGCATGGACTTCATCATCAACGGCAGCAGTGGGCTCATCAGCTCCACCGCGGTGCTGGACAGGGAGAGGATCTCCGAGTACTACCTCCGTGTGGTGGCCAGTGATGCCGGCGTGCCCGCAAAGAGCTCCACCAGCACGCTGACAGTCAGAGGTGGGCAGGGGGACTCCAGACAGAGCAGCTGGGAGGGAGATGTGGTGGTGGGGATGGGGGTTGCAATGGGGGCAATCACATGCAACCCACAGCCTTGGGGAGGTTGCTTGTCTTGGGCTTGTCCTGTGGTGTGGTACACAGCAGCTAATGGCGAGCAGAGGACGCATGGGGACACTCAGAGCAGCAGGAGGATGTCCGAGAGCTCCACGATGCTTCTGGAAGGACAGGTGAGCCCAGGGAACACTCAGCTCTGCTCCCTGTTCCAGTTCTGGACGTGAATGATGAGAACCCAACCTTCTTCCCGGCCGTCTACAATGTGTCGCTGCCTGAAGACGTGGCCCGGGACTTCAAGGTGGTGCGACTCAACTGCACGGACGCCGACGTCGGCCTGAACGCTGAGCTCAGCTACTTCATCACGGGTGCGAAGGCCCAGCGGGGAGCGCTGCTCCGTGCCAGCATCTCTCCAAGCTTGCACGGCCAAGCAATGGGGGTGGTACTCGTGTGAGCCAGCCTGGTAGCTCACAGGCTGCTTTGCATGGGTTTCCCTTCGATGGCTTGCGAAACTCGCAGCCCTCAGCAGCTGCAGCGCACGGGCAGGGGATGCCCCGGTCGTGTTTCGTCTTGCAAAGCATGTGGGTGGCGCTGGGTCTGCAGAGTGGGCTGAGCTGGCGGCCCTTGAGCTCAAGAACCCGCTTGCTTTGCCACAGGGGCGCTAGGGCCTGGCCTTTGTCCTTGTCCTGCTCTGCAGGTGGGAACCAGGACGGCAAATTCAGCGTTGGCTTTCGAGACGGGGTGGTCAGGACAGTCGTGAGCCTCGACAGGGAGACCACGGCGTCGTACACGCTGATCCTGGAGGCCATCGGTGAGCGTTATCAYGGCTCGCTTCCACCACCATGGTTGGAGACAATAAATGTGGGACCTGTCCGGCCCCAGGGGARCTTCCTCCTGTTGCAGCAGCAGCGTTACCCTCATGCCAGACCCAGMCTTGGCTCGGTGGCTGCCAATTAATCTGGAGCCACCTGGCATGGGCAAGGGGTTGGCACGTCAGCACTTCTTGGCCACCGTCCCAAGAGCCCTATAATGATGCGCTTGTTTGCAGAAGATGTGGGATTTCGTTTGGGGAGGAGGAACAAGTGGCTGGGCCAGACTGCCGGGGGGGGACTTTTAACCCAGGGGAGGTGTGAGGCTGGCAGAGGTGCCCCCAGCAGCCGCTGTGCCCCCAGGACACGGAGCTGACACAAGTCCCCTCTGCTCCCTGTCCCGTGCAGACAACGGCCCCGCCGGGAACAGGCGGACAGGCACTGCCACCGTGTATGTCACCGTCCTGGACGTCAACGACAACCGTCCCATCTTCCTGCAGAGCAGCTACGAAGCCAGCGTGCCGGAGGACATCGCGGCCGCCAGCAGCATTGTGCAGGCACGTGGCACGCTCCTTCTCCAGGGTCACCTCCCGTGCCCACACACCGTGCCACGGCAGCAAGACCTGGTTTTACAGGGGSAATGTGTGCGAGCAGGGGCTACGGGAGGGAGAGAAGAGCTGGGGCTCTTGTTTCGCTCGTGGGCCCCCTTGGAGAGGGGCTGAATGGCTCGGTGAGCACCGCGTGAATGCCGCATTCATGCAGGGCCGGAGGGGCGCGCGCTGCGGCGCGAGCTTGGCCGCCAGCCCGGCGGGGCTCGCCGTGCGCGCCTGCCTGCGCCTGCTGCTCGGTTATTGAAGCCGTTTTTCAGCGGACACCTGTAAAGCACAGCTCTACATGGCGGCGCTGCGCCGGGGGACGGGCGAGCGCAGTGCGCACGGCGGGTGGGCGCGCTCGCACACCTGCGCGCACGTCGGCCCGGCGCCAAGCGCGCCACGGTGCCAGCGCGCTGCAAATCACTGCAGCAGCAGCGTTTGGGCAGGGCTTTCAGCAGCTCAGGGCTGAGTGCACTCAAGCAGCACGTGCCGTTTGATGGGGTGCAGCACAACGTGCCCAGTGCATCGTGCTGGGCGCCGCTCGAGGTGATGGAGCAGGCTTTTCTTTGCTCGCCGCCACCATGCAGTGAGGAAGAGGAGGCCTCTCTATGTATCTGGGGATCTGTTGTGATCTCTGGTCTCTTTTCTTCACCATCCTCTCTTTCTCCCTTGCCAAGGTGAAAGCCACAGATGCAGATGAAGGCTCCAACGGCCGCGTGTGGTACCGCATCATCAGGGGTGAGTGCAGTAGCCCCATGCGTGGTCACACTGGGCATGAGGGGAGATGTTCCTGCACCAGGAGCCTGCACGGAGAAGCTCCTCCCGTCTCTCCCTGGCAGGAAACGAGCACAACCACTTTCGGATCCACCCCAGCAGCGGGCTGCTGATGCGCGGCGCGCGACCCCTGGACCGCGAGCAGAACTCCTCTCACGTTCTGGAGGTGGAGGCGTACAACACGGAGCAGGGAGCCATGAGGAGCTCCGTGCGGGTACGGCCGTCGCGGATACGCCTGACACTCGGTGTCAACGCAAGAAAGGATGGAGCRGGCTCGTCTCTCTCACTGAGCCCTTTCTGGGCAGAGCAGTGCCCAGCTCACTGGTGTTCTCCCCCGGGTCGGGGGCTTGCAGGTGATCGTCTACGTGGAGGACGTCAACGACGAGGTGCCCGTGTTCACGCAGCGGCAGTACAACCGCCTAGGGCTGCGGGAGACCGCCGGCATCGGCACATCAGTCGCTGTGGTCCGAGCGACGGACCGCGACACAGGTAGGGAACCGGGACGAGTGGCAAGCAGATCCTCCAGCATCTCCTCCAGCATCCCCATGCCTTCRTGAGGCAAGGGAGCCTTATTTAAGTCGTTGTTTTCCAGGGAACGGTGGGCTGGTGAGCTACAAAATCCTGTCGGGTGCGGAAGGGAAGTTTGAGATCGATGAGAGCACGGGCCTTATCACCACCATTGAGTACCTAGACTATGAGACCAAGACCAGCTACCTGATGAACGTCTCGGCCACGGACCAGGCGCCCCCGCACAACCAGGGCTTCTGCAGCGTGTACGTGAGCCTGCTGAATGAGCTGGACGAGGCCGTGCAGTTCTCCAACGCCAGCTACGAGGCCGTCATCATGGAGAACATCCCGCTGGGCTCCGAGGTGCTGAGGGTGCAGGCCGTCTCCATCGACAACCTCAACCAGATCACCTACAAGTTTGACCCCAACACCAACGCCCAGGCGCTCTCCTTGTTCAAGATCAACGGCGTCACCGTGAGTAGCCAACGCGGGGCCTCACAAACACCCGGCACACTTGCCCATGAGGGATGTGGTGCCGGTGCTCAACATGGCTCTTACCCCTCCACAGGGTGTCATCACAGTCAAAGGCCAGGTGGATCGTGAGAAGGGGGACTACTACACCTTGACAGTGGTGGCTGACGATGGCGGGCCAAAAGTTGACTCCACAGTGGTGAGGAGCACTCATATTATGTTTGAGCTCCTTTATCCTGGTGCCCTTCAGGGGTACCCTGTTGCCTGCCCACTAACTCTTGCTTGCTTGTTTTTCTCTCTTCCTCCCCATTTTGCTCGCCTCTGGCAGAAGGTAAGCATGCCACAGGGCCGGGACGCCCCAGCGGCAACCCCAGCATCCTTTCCGGCCTCCGCGTGGGCTCTCCCAGCTCCGTTTCTTCCGTTCGGCGGCGACAATAAGCGCGCGGCCCTGGCTCGCACCGCCGGCTTCCTGTGGGACATGGTGCCTGGCCGCACCTGGAGCCAGCGCAGGGAGGCTCTTCCTCCCTGCTCTTTGTGCATGGTGTTGACAGCCCTTAATGAGAGGGTGCGATGAGAGCATTTCCTCTGGCTGAGTGCAGCCAAGGAACCTCGAGCCCAGAGCGTGTCCTGGAGGAGCTCCTGGGCAACGGAGTGGTGGCTGATACACTTGGGGTGTCTTTTCACCCGCACACGCGTCCTGCATTGCAGGATTTCAGCCCAGCTTGGCCTTCGAGGGAGCCCTGTGCGGATGCCCCTTTGCCTTGTTTTGGGTAGAATTTGCCCCAATATGGCCAAGCATGTGCAGCCCAGAGGGAGGCACGGCCAAGCGGTGCCACGGCCTGGCCCCTGCCCGCAGGTAGCCATCACGGTGCTCGACGAGAACGACAACAGCCCCCAGTTCGACATCACGTCCGACTCGGCGGTGAGCGTGGCCGAGGACTGCGCCGTGGGCAAGCGCATYGCCGTGGTCCTGGCCCGGGACCCCGACGCGGGCAGCAACGGGCAGGTGGGACGCCCAGCGCGGCCGCGACACCTTGGCTCCCTGCTCAGTTTTGGCATGCCGCCTCTTCCCTGTGGTGCTGGAGCAGGGAAGAAAGCATGGAAAAAGGGTGATGTCTGGGTGGGATGTGTGCCAAAGGGAGCCTGGCGATGGGAAAAGCAGGCTCCTCCTGCTGCAAGGGATGACGGGGATGGCATTCCCAGATGGAGGCGAAAGCTCCCAGTGATGGACTCAACATACTAGAGCCAACTCCAACCATGGCCATGGTCACGGATGAGACCTCGTCACGGGCCACGGGTTCAATGCCCCCCTCCTTCTGGCTTYCCCCCTGCCCAGGTGACCTTCTCGTTGACGGCGGGGAACGTGGGCGGCGCCTTTGAGATCCGCACCACCAACGGCACCTACGGTGAGGTGCTGGTGGCGCGGCCGCTGGACCGCGAGCTGCTGGACCGCTACACCTTGCGGGTAAGCGGTTGCTYCCGGCGCGGCGCCCTCGCGGGCGTGGACGCCGTGCCAGCCCGCGTGCCGCCTCGCGCAGATCCAGGCCGCCGACGGCGGCAGCCCRCCCCGCCGCAAGGAGCACAGCCTGCGCGTCACTGTGCTGGACGTCAACGACAACCCGCCCGTGGTGGAGAGCCCCTGGGGCTACAACGTCAGTGTCAGCGAGGTGAGATGCTTAGCTGGGGTCCCCCCAGATGTTTGCAAGGTGCTCTAACCCTCACCCGGTTAACCATGGGCTGTGGCAAGGGCGAGCTCCATGCACCTCGAGCATCCCCTTGGGCGCTGCTTCCTCCGCAGAACGTCGGCGGGGGCACCGCGGTGGTCCAGGTGCGCGCCACCGACCGCGACGTGGGCCTCAACAGCGTCCTCTCCTACTACATCACGCAAGGCAACGAGGACCTGACCTTCCGCATGGACCGCGTCACGGGCGAGATCGCCACGCGCCCCTCGCCGCCCGACCGCGAGCGCCAGAGCTCCTATCGCCTGCTGGTCACTGTGGAGGACGAGGGCAACCCCTCCTTGTCCGTGAGTAGCCCAAGTTGGGAAGCTCTCACGGTTTTGGGTTGCTGGGGAGATGGGCAATGATGCTTTGGCCGTTACAAGGGGAGGGGGGCAGAGGGATGGGGATGAGCGGGACAAGGGTCACCTTGTTAATGGAAGGTGTAGGGAGCGGGGTGTCCTGCCAGGCCCCTTCCCTGTGGGCACCTGCAGCTCAGGTGGGGCAGCAGGCAAGAACAAAACCAAAAGAGCAGCAACAAACGCAATAAAAAAAGCCGAGCGCGGGGGAGAAACGAGCAGAACGAAAGAGGAAACGGCAGAGCGGAAGCGGCCTCCTCCCCGGGGAGCTGGCGGCCCCGCTGCGGCTCCRCCGGCTCGGGTGCCACCGGGGCAAGGAGGGATTTGGCCCCGTTGCACCTTTATTCCGCCGCGGAGCACCGTGTTGCTGAGGAGGCCGAGGCGCGCGGAGCAGCGGGAAGCAGCGTTCCCAGCTCGCCCGGGCACCCCGGGCGCCTCTGTTCTGCTGCACGGGCACACGTTGCACGCGCCGAGASCAGCGCAATAAGTTAAATCCCTGGGAATGCTCATGGCAGTGCAGAGCGCGCGGATGCTCGTGTGAGACAGCTCTGGCCCAGCSCCAAATCCTCCCGAATTTGGCCCATCTTTGCATTGAGCGCAGTTCCTCCTCGGGTCCTGTGGGATGGAGGCACAGGTCAAGGTCCATAAGGGAAAACAAAATCCGGAGGAGAGAGCGCGCTTGCATGCACGCGTCCGTAGGTGCTGGTGCTGCTCGTCTCCGTAAAAAACAGGTAGCAAAAGTCAAAACCCCGGAGCGAGAGGCTCTCCTCCGTGCACAGGGCGGGCTGGCGGTGTCCGGCCTTCCTAAGCCTTCGGGCTGCTCGGGGAGTCGGGAACGGGGTCTGGAAAAGAGCAAGCGGAGCAGGTGAGGGCTCGTGAGCCCAACAAGGTGGCTGCTCCTTGCAGCTTTGGGCCCCCTTGGCCTTCCTGCTGCCGTTGGCACTCACCCAGCGTGGGGAAGAAGCAGTCGCCGGGGCCCGGGGGCGAGAGCGGCGTGCCGGGCTCGGAGAGCAGGCGCCGGCCGGACTCGGAGGGCTGCCGGGCGGGCGCGTAGGGCAGCGGCGCCCGCGGCCACGTCTCGGCGGCGGGCACAGCCTCGAAGACGGGGTTCTCGATGCCCTGCGCGCTGCTGTGGGCCAATGGAGGGGCCAGGTTGAGCCAGGGCTCACCCCGTCCCCGCTTTGGGGTGGTGCTTTTTTAAAGGGAAGGGGTAAGGGGGGGCAATGTGCAGAGTGTCTCCTCACCTCTCCATCCGCACGAGCTCGTGGGCGCCTGCAAAGAAAGCAGAGAGGCTACATGAGGATAGGGGTCTTGCTGAAGCAAGGGGAAATAGTGCTTTTTTGGGGGGGTTGCAATGGGGAGTACGTACGCCTGTTGGTGACCGCCTGCCGCTGCTTGTAGATGAGGAGGAGGATGAGGGGCAGGCAGAGGATGCCCACGATGCAGGCCACTGTGGCCAGCGCGGCGGCCGTGGTGTCTGCAAGGCAAGGAGGCGGCAGGGCTCAGCGGCCTGCGGCGCTGCTGCAGGACACCCCGGGCCCCGCACAAGCACCCAGGGCTGAGCAACCGGGGCGGCCCTGCCTCACCTTTGCTGGCGGCGGCGTGGAAGGTGCAGTTCTGCAGCGCTCCTTGGCCTGCGGAGAGCAGAGGAGGGCCCATGAGAGGCCGCAGGGACCCCGGCCCGTGCCCCGCCGCTCCCTGGCCYTCCCCTGCGCCGCGCGCTCCGGCTCGCTCACCCTGCCGTATCTGGAGCTCCACGACGCCGTGGGCCACCTGCCGCGCGTGCGGCTTGCCGTGCTCGCGGTGCGCCTCCACCGCGTAGCAGCAGTAGTTCCCGCTGTCGCCCAGCGTCAGGTTGGTGACCAGCACGTGGAAGGCGCCGTGGCGGTCGGGGAGGAAGGCGACGCCGTGGGGCGTGGCGGAGCCGCCGGCCCCCGGCCCGTGGTGCGCGGCGGCCTCGTGGCGCATCTCGCGCTCGCTGGCGTTGCGGATGTGCCGCTTCTCGGAGCAGCTGCGGTCGCCGTCGCCGCTGAAGTACCACGTCTTGTAGAGCAGGTCGTGGTGGTCGGCCAGCGGCCCCGACACGCGGCACGTCAGCGTCACGTTCTGCCCCTCGGGGCACACGCAGAGCGCGTAGGGCGCCGTGACCAGCAGCGCGGCCGCCCTGCCTGCGGGAGAGGGCGAGCGGCAATGCGAGGGCTGCCCGGACCCCCGGGGTGCAACGTGCAGGCACCCATGCAGACCCCACTGCTGCATGCATGGGCACGGCATGCACTGCACACATGGGCAGGCTCCACATACCCATCGCTCGCCATGCCCATCGCTCCCCATCCCATCCCGTTGTGTGGCCGCAGCTGCAGCTCCTCATCGCGCAGCCCGCCCCGAGGGCGGCTGCGGAAAGAGGAGAGCGCTCTCAGACAGGCCGGAGGAGGCCGGAGGAGGCCGGAGGAGGAGGAGCGCCCGGCCAGCTGCGCTCCCACCCTGCCCGTGGTGGTGCATGAGGCGCTTGTTTTTCCGCCGTCCCGGAGGCGGAGGGGGAGCTCTGTGCACATCATGAAGCTGCCTGAGGCCGGGCTCCCCGTGCTTGCAGAAACACTCCGGGTGCAGAGAGTGCTCCAAGGCACCCGGGATCCCAGCACAGGAGGGCTGCAGGGCATCCCAACGTGCCCAGCCGAATCAGGAACCCCCGGGGTGGGTTTCCCAGCAAAGGAGGCTCCCGGCTGGGGAGCTGGTGTTATTAGGACGAGATGTTCTCGTATTTCGGCAACATCCTGTTGTTCCCGCAGCGCCCGCCTGGCCCGGATCTGAGGTTTTTCACTTGCTATATCGAGGCGGTGTCAGCCAGAGGTGGCAGCGCCAGCGGGGAGCATCCCGCCCAGGGCACCCCACGCTCCCCAGCCCATAGCTGGGGCTGGTCAGAGCTGTGGATCAGCACTGCACTGGACACACTGTGGACGGGTGTCCCGCGGGAGCAGCGGGGGGAAGCAGGGGCTCTATGGGAGGAAGCGGCACTGCACCTTGCGAGCAGCCCTGCAGAAGGGCAGCGGAGAAGCCGGGGGAGGCAGCGCTGCGGCTCAGCACCCCCATGCTCGGGTCTGTGGCACCCCGCATCCCCACCAGCACCCGTCACCCGGCCCCTGCTGAGCACCGCGTTTCTTCTCCGTTTGACCACGCAATCGGAAAAAGAACAGCACCTYTACCAAGCACGTCGGAAGCCAGATGGGGACCCTAGTCCCCCCCTGAATACCCTCTCGTTCCCCTGGTAAACTTGGCTCAGTCCCTCACAAGGCAGATCTGTGCAGCCCCTTTCCCAGTGGGAGCATCCCTGTCCCACCCGGAACAGAATATCTTGCCCCCGCTGCTCCCGCTTTGCTCTGCCCGAAGGGACTTTCAGAAAGGTTCAGTGTGCAAGTGGCTCTGGGTCTAGGAAGTGTTCCCAGGAGATTAAAGCACCTGCGGGAGCAAAAAAAAAAAAAAAAAGCCACCTGGAATTTGGCAGGAGCGAGAGCAGCGGGTCGCGGTTTAAGCGGCACGGCTTAGGGGAGGTTTTGTTGTTGTTTTAGTTGGAATCGCTTTGGGGAAGTGGGGCTGGATGCGCTAAGCGCTCTTGCTGGCGCCGAGCCCCGGCACTGCTGGGGAGGGGGTGACGGGTGGTGGGACCGCGCTCCCAGGCAGCCTCTTTCTCCCACCCGGCGCACGGAGCTGCCCTCGGCAGCCCTCAGCAGCAGGAAAACCCCTTGCAAAGAGAGGAGAGTTTGCAAAGAGGGCGGAAAGCTCCGCGGGCGCCGCCGCCGCCAACGCCTYGCTCCTGCGCCCCGCTCCGATTGCAGCCCGCGTGTGCCCCCCGGAGCCCCTGCGCTTACCGAGGGCCGCGAGCAGGCAGAGCGCGGCCAGCAGCAGCCGCGGCGGTGCCTCCATGGCCGGGCTCGGCCTCGCCGGCCGCTGCGCCTCCGCCGAGCCTCCCGCTCGCACTGAGCCGCCCGGAGCGCGCAGGAAATTTCCCAGAGCCGGCGAGACCTGCGAGCACCCCCAGGAGGTGAGAGCGAGCAAGGAGCCGGGCTGGGCGCCCGCGCATCTGGAGCGGCAGCTGTATTGCAGCAGCTGCTGGAGGATGCTCCCTCGCCCGGCCAGCGYGTTGCTCAGCCGTGACCGTCAGTTCTGGTGAGGACTCACAAAGTCCTAAGGACACGGACACCCAGTGGATAAATCCCTGGGTTCTCACTGGTTCTCAATAATGTTGCCTGCAAGGGTAAAAACAGGGCATAAAGGAGGCCCGTGCTTGGCTTGGGAGCACCAGGCACCTCCATAAACCAGTGGCTGCACCTGGTGCTACCTGGAGGTGCCTGGTGTTGGGGATGTGCCTGGAGCCACAGCTCGCCTTCTTCCCCACAACTCCTGGCGCCCCTTGGCACATTCCCCACAGGCGACGTCTCCTCCATGTCCCACAGGCCACCACCACAGTGCACGTCACAGTCCTGGACGAGAACGACAACGCTCCCGCCTTCCAGAAGCCCCTCTACGAGGTCACGCTGGACGAGGGGCCCTCCTCACTCAATGCCACCCTCGTCACCGTGCAGGCCCGCGACCAGGACGAGGGGCCCAATGGCACCGTTGCCTACGCCATCACTGAAGGCAACATCTTGGGCACCTTCCACATTGACAGCGTCACGGTCAGTAAGGACACGGGGCAGTGACATCCTGCTCAACCCCGCCACGTGTCGTAGGGGTTGACCCTCTCCACACCGCCCTCCTGTTGCAGGGGCAGATCCGCACCGTGAAGGAGCTGGACTACGAGATCAGCCACGGGCGCTACACCTTGATCGTCACCGCCACCGACCAGTGCCCCATCGTTTCACGACGCCTCACGTCCACCACCACGGTAGGGAGCTGGAGAGGCTGTGGCACGTTGACATTCCAAGGTCTCTGAGTTCCGCCTCCGGGGAGCAGTTTCACATCTCCTTCCCAGGGATATGTAGCTGCTTTTCCCAGCTGCAGCCATGCAGCCCGGAGGCTGCAGCCCTGCTCCAGGTTGCAGAACACAGAGGCGTTGGTCAGCACTGAGCAGCTCCCATGCAAAAACCTAGTTTTCCTCCAGTCATTCGCTTCTTTTCTCTGCAGCACTTCCATCATCTCCAACACGCTACAATGCCCTGAGATAAGAACTCTAATCAAAGCATGAAGAGCAGAGTCTTAGCTGTTCCAAAGCCGATATTTTATGGGATTTTGATTGTTCTGGGAGCCCACACCAAAAAATCAATAAGTCCTATAACAGATGTTGCCCACATCAAGCCTGATTTCAGAGTTTGCCAATAGAAAGGACTAGTTAGATCTTCTCTGTCTTCTTCTTGTGGGCCATTATGTTTCACACATATACTGATCYAAGCATTTTCTAGTCCTCCAAAAGAAGATAAGGTCTTGTGGGCAGACAAGCGAGGAACCAGTGYGAGATCTGGTCTCTGCATAAAACATATCCCTGCACCTTGCCTGCAGGTGCTGGTGAACCTCAACGACATCAATGACAACCAACCCACCTTCCCACGGCCCTATGAGGGACCCTTCGACATCACGGAAGGGCAGCCGGGCCCCCGCGTGTGGACCTTCCTGGCCCACGACGGGGACTCGGGGCCCAGCGGGCAGGTGGAGTACAGCATCATCGCTGGGGACCCTCTTGGTGAGCCRAGACGCTCCACCTGTGGCTGGGTCTCCCCAGGGTTGCATGCCCTTCTTGTCCACCCAGTGATGTAGGGAGCAGAAGAGCTGTCAGATGACCCATGCCCAAGCAGAGCCATGCCCTGTGGTCTGCTCTTTCTACCGCTTGCTTTGAGGACTGAAGTGGTGGAAACCACCTTCTCTTGGCCATATGAACCACTCTTCAACCACTCTTCATCACCACTCTGTGGTGATGCTGCCCCAGCCTCTCCGATACTCGTGGGTACCCAAGATGCTTCTCCACAACCCCACGAGCCACAGCAGCTGGGCGCAGCGCCCACGCACTGCCCCGGCACGGGGAGAGGGGCAGCAGGGCAGGACCACCATGGGTTGCGTCCCCCGCGTGCCGCAGCACAGGCTGCCATTGGGCAGGGCAGGGGGTGGGTGGCAGCGGCTTGGGGCGCTGGCGGAAGCGTTGCAGAAGAGCCGTCCTCCCAGCCCATTGCCGCTGCCGCTTCGGGCTTTCGACACCAGGAAATCCTGTTTTGAGCAACAGGAACCTTTAACCCGTGAGCGGCTGGCAAGAGGGGCTTGCGCAAGGAACCGCGGCCCTGGGGCGGAGGAATCTGTTTAAAAACAAAAGCAATTAAAGAAAAAAATTAAAAAAAAAAAAAAAAGCAGAAAGAGAAACAGAGAAAGGCAAACGTGTGGCCCCGAGCAGACAGGGACCGCGTGTCTGCAGCTCCTGGCCAAGCCCCGCGGTGCCCGGGGGCAGATGGAGAGGCAGCACGGAGCATCCCCGCATGCTGCATCTGCTGGGACGGGGCACAGCTGTTCCTCGGCAGATGGGGGGCTGCGGTGACTCCAGCCAAGGGGTCCTGGCTGCTGGAGCCCTGTCCCGTCTACCAGCTGACCCGGGCTGCAGAGCCCCGCCAGTCCCTTGGCTTGTCATGCAGCCCGGGCAATTCCCAGAGCCCGGAGGTGCTGGCAAGGCACCCAGCATCTCAGACAACCCAGCAAGCCAGATGTTGTCCCAGCACCTCTTTGGCTGGTCGACCAGCCAACCCTGTGCCCACTGATACCCATGGGAAGATGAGCTCTTGGGTGCAGTAAGATGCTTTGAGGTGGTCCAAGGCCACCGAGCTCAGGACCGCGGCAGTGGCCATGACCTCTTGCTCTGGGCAGGCATCCCATGGCATGGGCCTGATGCCAGCCCTCTCCACCCRCTCTCTGCACTCTGCCAGGGGAGTTTGTGATCTCGCCCGTGGAAGGGGAGCTGCGGGTACGGAAGGATGCCGAGCTGGACCGTGAGAACATCCCCTTCTACAACCTCACCATCGCCGCCCGTGACAGAGGGGTGCCGCCGCTCAGCTCCACGGTGAGCCCCTCCAGGGCAGGGACCACCACCGGGACCTGTTCTCAGGCTCCTTCCCGTGCCTCAGGGCCTCCTTTCCTTTGCCCTCCCCTCCTTGAGCTCTTAGGTGGAAAGGATGGGCCTGCACATTGCCTGCCAGGTGCTGGATTGTCTCTGTTCCCCTCCAGATGGTGGTGGGCGTGCGTGTGCTGGACATCAACGACAATGACCCCGTGCTCCTCAACCTCCCCATGAACCTCACCCTCAGTGAGAACGCCCCCGTCTCCAGCTTTGTCACCCGCATCCTCGCCCGGGATGCAGACCAGGGCCCCAATGCTCTCCTGACCTTCGACATCACCTCGGGCAACTCGGAGAAGGCCTTTTACATCAACAGCACCGTACGTCAGCTGGGGTTCCGGGCTCTCCCATGCACCAGTGGCAAGCGGGGAGGTGGATGGTGGTCACTGTGGCCGGGCATAGCCTTCATCTTCACCCGCATGTGCATGTGTTCTGCATGCTGCCTTGCATATGCGGAGTCCCCAAGTGCTGGCCTGATGTGGCTTTGCCTAGCCTAGGTGGAAATGGGGGATGAGGATCAAGGAGGAAGGCAGGGCACCAGCAAGACAGCCAGGAGGAAGCCCACCTCCCTTCCGTTTAATGCATCTCCTCCTTTTCTCTTGACAGACTGGCATCATCTATGTAAACCGCCCCTTGGACAGGGAGCGGGTGGCCGAGTACAGGCTCACCATCACAGTGAAGGACAACCCTGAGAACATGCGCAATGCCAGGAGGGTAATTACGGACGTGCTGGGGCTTCCCAGTGGGGCAAGAAGCTGGAGGTATGGCGGGTGGGAGAAGAGGCTCCTGCCAAAGCCACAAGCAGAGGGTGTGTTTAGTTGGACCATATTCTAGCTGCGAGACGATCACAAGATGGATGGAGTAGCCAACACTTCAGMRTGCTGTGCTGCCATTCAGAGGGACCTGGACAGGCTGGAGAGTTGGGCAGAGAGGAACCTCCTGAGGTTCAACAAGGACAAGAGCAGGGTCCTGCACCTGGGGAGGAATAATCCGACATCAGTACAGATTAGAGGTTGACCTGCTGGAGAGCAGCTCAGCAGAGAGGGACTTAGGAGTCCTGGTTGACACCAAGTTAACCATGAGCAAGTAGTGCCCTCATGGCCAAGAAGGTCAATGAGATCCTGGCCTGCATCAGGAAGAGTGTTGCCAGCAGGTCAAGGGAGGTGATCCTGCCCCTCTACTCAGCTCTGGTGAGGCCACATCAGTCTCCAAAAGACCAGCCCCTTCTGGGCTCCCCAGTATAAGAGGGATGTGGAGCTTCTAGAGAGGGTCCAGCAACCAAGATGATTGAGTGAATGGAGGAGAGACTGAGATGAGCCTGTTTTCTCTGGAGAAGAGAAGGCTGAGAGGGGATCTGATTAGTATGCACATATGTATATATAGTACATGAAGGGGGAATGTAGGGAGGTAGGGGTCAAGCTATTCCCAGTGGTGGCCAGTGATAGGACAAGGGGAAATGGGTGTAAGTTGAAACACGGGCAGTTCCATCTCCACATCTCCATAGTGAAGAACTTCTTCAATGTGAGGGTGCCAGAGCCCTCGAACAGGCTGCCTAGGGAGGTTGTAGAGTCTTCCAAACCCACCTGGATGCTGCCCTGTGCCGCGTGCTCTGGGTGTCTCTGCTGGTGCAGGGGGGTTGGACTAGATGATTTCTAGAGGTCCCTTCCAATCTTAACCATTCTGTGATTCAGTGAGACCAGGACTATTCTCTCCTGGATCCAAGCAGGGAAGAGTAGGCAGGCAACAAGATGCCCATGCCATGGGTCTCAGGCAGCTCCCATGACTCAGGGMTTGGCAGCTAACGGTCCCTCTAGCAGGAACGATCTGCAGCTCCCTCCAGGGAAAGTTCCAGAGCAGGAGCTCTGCTGCCTGCCCCGGCACTTGTGCTCTGCATGGCACCAGTAGCACAGTTAGAGATGAAGGCAGGACTGCAGGAGACAGCCGTAGCTACATCATGGAARGCAGGCCAGAGATGAGCAGAGAACTAGGTGGCATTAGGTGGTCACCCTTTGGGGTGTGGGCCAAGAAGGGAAGTCCAGTCATAGGGTTAGAAGCCACACGGCTCCTCTAGGGGCCTCTTGGGAACAGAGCACTGTGTGTAAGGGGCTCCAGGATCTTGATATGATAGAGATGGGATGTGAGCTGAGGAGAGGACATCGCAGTCATTGCCCTCTTGTCCTTGTTTTCCTTCACACACCTTCAGGATTTTGACCTGCTGGTCATTAAAATAGCGGACGAGAACGATAACCACCCGCTCTTCACTCAGAGCTCCTACCAGGCTGAGGTGATGGAGAATTCACCCCCAGGTAGGTCTCTCCTTGCTCCTTTACACGCCTCTGGCCTCTTGGGGCCAGAGGAGGGTAGGTGTCTCACAAGCCATGCTAGATGAGATGCCATGGGCTGAGCTCCRACTTTGCCGTTGAGCGTGGAAGCACTTCAGCTCATTGGGAAAGGCTGCAACCAAGGAGAGGTCCTACCAGCTGCCAGGGCCCGTTAGCCACAGAGCTAGGAATAGGTATCCTCTTTTTCCCCTCCTGCCACTTGAGTTGTTTGACCACAAATAGGTCCATTTCCAGCATCAGAGGCTGGTAGCTACACACAGAGCTGGGCTATCTCCAAAAGGCCACACTGGACTCCAGCCACGCAGAGGTTTCTCAGCGAGGTCTTCGTGCACACATGCACGTCGGGGGGAACCCAGGAGCAGCGCTGGGGACAGCCGGTCTGACAGATGTGTCTGTTTGCTTTTAGCTGGACGCTACGCCTCCTCCTCCTGGGCCTCGCGAGTCAGTCCGCCAAGGCTGCAGCAGCCGCCCGTGCTGTCTCATACCCACGAGGCCTCACTCTGTTTGCCTCCTCCATCCATCCATTGCTGTCCCTCATGTGTCACCAGGGCGGGAGCGGGGTGCAAGGGGTTCCACGGGGGTGACCTCCCCTTGCTCACCCTTGTCATCCTGTCCAGGGACCCCCATCATGGTGCTTAACGGGCCCATCCTGGCTCTGGACAGTGACGAGGGAAGCAACGCCGTGGTGACATACCAGCTYCTGGAGGCATCTCCGGACTTGTTCATTATCGACAACAGGACAGGTGACGTAAGCCCAACCCAGAGCTGCAGGACAGCCGTATCAGCACCACAGGGCACATAGCGGGGTCTGTCACCTGGTGTGTCCATGTCCTCCAGGTGCAGTTGTGGTCAAGCCTGGCAGGGTGATAGACCACGAGGCCTTCCCAAGCCCTCAGCTGGACTTTACTCTGGTGGCCAGTGACGTGGGAGGGCTGAACAGCACTGCGAGCCTCCAGGTGACCATCCTGGATGAGAACGACAACCGTCCCATGTTCCACCCAGCGTCCGTGACCGCACGACTGCGGGAGAACAGCCCTCCAGGTCAGGAGATGGTCAGGAGGGGTCCCACCATGGGCCCCGGCGGTCCCGTGTAGTGTGCCGTGTCCCCTCCTCCAGGTTTTTCCGTCCTCCAGGTGACAGCAACAGATGCCGACAGCGGCCTCAACAAGCAGCTGGACTACCGCATCGAGGGCGGGGGGCAGGACAGGTTTGTGATCGACGCTGCCTCAGGGGTGATCCGTGTGGCCAACCACACGATCGACCGGGAGGAGCGGGACACCTACCGGCTCACGGTGGTGGCCGTGGACCAAGGCACGCCGTCWCTCTCGGGCACGGCCACCGTTCTCCTCTTCATCGACGACGTCAACGACTGCCGGCCCGAGTTCATCAACCCCGTCATGACAGTGAGCGTGCCCGAGTCGGCCGCCCCAGGCACGGTGGTGGCTGAGGTGACCGCAGTTGACAGAGACCTCAATGCTCGCCTGGAGTACTACCTCCTGGAGATCGTGGCCCGCGATGACACGGATGCGCTGGTGCCCGACCAGCAAGGGGTGTTCACAGTGGATTTCAGGACAGGTAGGAGGGCAGGAGGGGCGGCACGGGCAGCGCGACTCCCTCTCCTGTCTTCTGCTGCTCTGCTGCTCTGCCTAGAGGTAGGTGTCCAAGACACACAGAGGGGAGGGGGTGCTCCGTGCTCCACTCCTCCGATGCTTCTTGCTCGCGCTGCCTTCTTCTCTCTCCTGTGCCTGGCAGAGCTGCTGGCTACCTGACTTGACTAACACTTCTCTTTCCTTTCTGGACCGCCGGGATTGTCTCTATGTCCATGCACGTGCTGCCCATGTCTCTCGTTGCGTTCCATCCGTGGTGTCCCCCTCCATCTCACTCATGCCCATCCCATTGCCTCCGCTCCTGGCCGCCCTCTCTGGGTGCCCTCCAGGCGCGCGGCAGCTCTGCAGCCTTCGCAGACCCAGCGTGGGCCGCTCCGGCGCACCTCGCCGGGGAGGCCTGCCAGGGTAAGTGGTGCTAGTGGGTCTCAGGGAGAGGAGGATGAGGTGTCCCACCATGTCCCAGGCTGCTCTGTGGATTCATCTGCTCCAAAGTCCGGGTGTTTTGCAAGGGTAGAGCTGATCTGGGGAAGAGAAACTTCCCCCATCTGCATGGGCATGACTCTTAAAAGAAAGACCTCAAGGACCAGAGCTCCTGTGGATGGCATCCCTCAGGAGTACCAGGAATTGCTCCTAAGACCGGTCTCCCTGTCCCAGCCCCTACCCAGGCTGAGACATTGTGAGACCTGACTAGCTGGACAAAGAGGAGCAGACAGGGAGGCAGGAGACAGGAGGCAAAGAAATCCCTCCCACAACCCTTAGCTACCAGTTGTTTCTCCTGTTGAGCTTTTGGGAGAGGCAGGAGAGCAAGTGCAGTGCCTGGATGGTGCAGACCTGTCTGCCTTGGGCCCCTGGCAGAACGCGCAGGTACAGCTGGTAACCCAAACCCTTTTGGGATTCCCAGGAGCTGTGAAGATCAAAACTCCACTCAACCGGGAGCTAGTGGCCACCTACGAGGTCACCATCTCCGTGCATGACAATGCCAGTGAAGTCCTTGACCGCTCAGTCAGCGTGCCCAATGGTGAGTGTGGTCTCGTGCTCCAGAGCACATGCAGGGCAGGGACAGATGAGCTGTCACACCACCAGCTCAGGGTCCTAGGGCATTGCTGAATATTACAGCACTTCATGAAGAACCAGYTGCTGATCAATGGGAGCTTCTCGTTTCCATCTTTACAACACTCTCTTGTTCCTCCCCTCTCTTTCTCCCTTGTCCTCTTCCTCTTGGTGTCCACCTTGCACAGCCAAGCTAACCATCAATGTCTTGGATGTCAATGACAACACACCCCGCTTCCGCCCCTTCGGGGTCACCTATTTCACTGAGAAGATCCTGGAGGGAGCCACGCAAGGCACCACACTAATCTCCATCTCAGCGGTGGACCCAGACAAAGGGGCCAATGGGCAGATCACCTATGAGCTGCTAGATCTCTCCCCAGAAGGCTACGCCTGCCTTGAAGACCAGTCAGCAGGTTGGTGAGCTGGGATAGGTACAAGTCCCCCAAGACCCATCAGACAGGGGAAAGGAAAGAGTTGGACTATGGCCCCYTGACACAGCCCAGTCTTAAGAAGCTTAAGAGGGGGGCCAAGCTGTATCAACGGGTAGGGAGGAATCTTTAATTCATTTCTCTCCTGTGTTCTGGCAGAAGAGACTCCCTTATTGCCTCCATCCACCCAGGGCATCGCAGCTCTCAAGCCATGTCTTGTGCAGTGATAACTGCGGAGGGGGTCTGGAGCAGGTTTCTGATGCCAGGTATCTGCCATCCTCTAGGGAAGGTCATAGCCAACAGGACAGTGGACTATGAGGAGGTGCAGTGGCTGAACTTCACCATTCGAGCTTCGGACAACGGCTCTCCCCGCAGATCTGCCGAGATCCCTGTGTACCTTCAGATAGTGGACATCAACGACAACAATCCCATTTTCAGCCAGCCATCCTATCAGGTGAGTAGGGCTCACCATGCTGAGTTGGTTGGGCAGCACCTGACAGGACAGAATAGGCCAAGAACTGGGTGCTCTTAGAGGATCATCTTCTTCCCCCTGTATGTGCTTAAACCATGTGAAATAGATGGTCACCCCAATGATGCTCGTGCTTTCACTGAAGGTGAATCAGCTCCTTTCCTCCACTAGAACAGCAAGTGATGAAACAACCTGTCCTTCCTCCTCTTGCTTGCAGAAAGCTGTCTTTGAGGATGTGCCGTTGGGTACAGTCATCCTGAGGGTCCAGGCCACAGATGCAGATTCCGGGCATTTTGCTCTCATCCAGTACAGCCTAGGGGATGGAGAGGGCAAGTTTGGGATAAATCCCAACACGGTAAGAAGCCAATTGAGGCTGTAAGAGAGGGGAAAACAGGGAGGGGAGACTGGGATGGCCCCCAGCGGCCACGGTTGAGCGGAGCATGGGGCTGACTCTGATTTCAGTGCAAACCAGTAGTGTTAACCAGTGGTGTGGGGCTGTGCACAGCCTTATTGTGGGTGCTGGGGCTCAGGATGAGGCTGTTTGCCTGAGCAAGGAGGTGAGACAGCCTTGCCCCCATACCTCGCAGGCTGTCCCCTCTCGAGTAGCAGATCTGCCAGGCAAGAAGCACCTGAAGGTTTCCATGTGCTGCAGGGTGATATCTACATCCTGTCTGCCCTGGACCGGGAGAAGAAGGATCACTACACGCTGACCGCTGTGGCCAGGGACAACCCCGGGGACGTYTCTAGCAACCGTCGAGAGAACTCTGTGCAGGTGGGGGCCTCCTCTTCCCACTGCCTCTCATGCAGTAGTGTCCAACCTAGTCTGGAAGAAGGTGTCAAAGCTCTGGCTTTCCTCCCCATGGGGTTTGCTATAGGAGGGAACTAGCCAAGAGGAAAACCAGATGACCCCCAAACAGGGGCTACAGGATGAATGCTGCAGAGAAGCAGCCTGGAGGAAGGAGACCATATGGGCACTGTCTGACCTGCTCCAGCGCCGAGTATCCCCCCAGCACMTCACAGTTTGTCTCAGGTGGCTGGTGGAGACTGAGCCCTCCAGGGAGGGCCAGGGGGATGGGGATGCTATTGTGCTCCAGTGCTCCGGCCAGCTGCAGAGTGAATGGGCCTCCACCCTGGCCCACTGCTGTTCCCATTGTCGGAGACAGGAATTCGATCAGCAGAGGGAAACAAATAGCAGGAAGGGCACCGCGGACCGACGGCAGAGGCATGCTGTGCTGTCCGGGTCACAGCAGGGCTGCGGTTGCCTGCGCAGCCATCTCAGGTAGCCTCAAGTAACCCACCAAGCTGTGTCTTGAATGTTCAAGGTGTTGATCACAGTCCTGGACATCAACGACTTCCGGCCTCAGTTCAGCAAGAGCCAGTTCAGCACCAGCGTCTACGAGAACGAGCCGGCAGGGACATCTGTGATCACCATGAGCGCAACAGACCTGGACGAGGGAGACAACGGGGTGGTGACCTACAGCATCGAAGGCCCGGGAGCAGGTAGGCACTGGCAGTGAGAGGTGTGTGTGGGACGTCCTCCATGGCAACGGGAAGGGCTAGGAAGAGGAATTGGAGGAGGTGTTTGGACCAAATCACATTTCCCGTGTCCTTCTGTGGTTAGATGCAGGCCCAGGAGCAGTTGCTTTCAGTATCATTCTGCAGTTTCCAGTTCCTCGTRGCATGCCATGTCACGACCTTGCCTACCTTCATGCCACAACCAGGCCTTGACTTCTGTCCAGGTCTCGTTATCAAGTTATATCAAGTGTCCTGAGCCAGAGGCGTGTTTATTTCGTCCTCAGAGGCCTTCAAGATCAACAAGGACTCCGGGCTCATCACGTCTCGGCGACGTTTGCAATCCTACGAGAGGTTCAACTTGACCGTGGTGGCTACGGACAAAGGACGACCCCCTCTCTGGGGGACCACCATGCTCCACATTGAAGTCATTGACATTAATGACAACCGGCCTGTATTTGTCCGCCCGCCCAACGGCACCATCCTGCACATTAAGGAGGTAAACCCAGGGACAGGGTTGCTGCCTGGGAATGGAGAGGTTGCCAAAACCCTTCTCCGTGTGTGCCTGAGCACGAGCAGTGGATATGGATTCACAGGGGAGCTTTGGGGAACAGAAACGCCAGCGGCACACAGAAATAAGGAACAGTTGGTCGCTGGCTGCTGAGTTTATTTATAAATGAGGGCTGAAATGCTGACATTTAAGACAGTTTCTCCTTTCTGAGAAGCCAGGCTTAGCTCAGGCCAATCCGAAACACGCACGCGAGGCACTTGCCCAACYGAGGGAAATGGTAACTCCCCATTTCCCATTTGGGACCATGGGTGTGGGCTATGCAGCTCCCACCGTGGGCCTGGGTGGGGGCAGCCATGACCACTAGAAGACAAATGAGTGGTGAGAGCACAGAGTCCTGTGTGGAGCTGTTGGTGGGGACACGCGGGCAATGTGTCACCTGACATGCTGACCTGGGCACCCAAGGGTGGTGCATAGGGCAGCCTGGTGTGTATGGAGCATTCAGCCTAGGGGCAAGGCCATCCCTCATCCCGGACTGCTCATACGCCAACAGGAAATCCCACTGCGGTCCAACGTGTACGAGGTCTATGCCACGGACAAAGACGAGGGCCTTAACGGCGCCGTCCTGTACAGCCTCCTGAAAACGGGAGCGGGAAACAAAGACTGGGAGTATTTCAGCATCGACTCCGTCAGCGGGCTCATCCAGACGGCAATGAGGCTGGACCGGGAGAAGCAGGCAGTGTACAACGTAAGCAGGCTGGGAGCGAGCCCACACGAGGGCAACCTTAACAAGAACCAAGGTGCCTCAGATCAACTGGTTGCTGGAGGAGATGGTAGCCCCCCTACCAATTCCTTGCTAAATTCCCCTCYGTGTCCCACCACCACCCCTGTCCCTGTCTTAGCACTGTCTCCTCGCCCCGTGTGCCCACGTGGCCTTGCGCAAGGCAGCCCTTTCGCTTCTSTCCGCAGCTGATCATCGTGGCCTGCGACCAGGGCCAGCCAGCTTATGAGACCATGCAGCCCCTGCAGGTCGCGCTCGATGACATTGATGACAACGAGCCTCTCTTCCTCCGGCCGCCTGTAAGGYCCGGGGCGGCCACTGCGGGGCATGGAGGGGTGCGGGTGTCCAAGGTGGCAAGAGAGGCACCAGGAGGGTGGTTTGCACGTGCCATGGTTTGCTTGCCTGCGGTAACCCTCCCTCTCCTTATCCGGGGGCTTCCTGGCAGAGGGACAGCCCCCAGTACCAGGCACTGTCTGTCCCTGAGCACTCGCGGCCTGGCACGGTGGTGGGCAACGTCACAGGAGCAGTGGACGCAGATGAGGGCTCCAACGCCATCGTCTACTACTTCATAGCAGGTAAGATGGGGTGCGTGGCTCTGCTTTACCAAGGAGGGAGCTTAGGGACCTTGAGGAGGACAAGATTGCTTCCCTCACTACTGTGCCCTGTGCATCTCTGCTTCTGCCCATCGATCCTGCCCCCCTGCAGCCCTCAGCCTCCTCCTGCGCATCCCTCACCAACATTTTGAGTTGCTCATGTCAGCTGTGAGCTGGATTTCTGCCACGATATGCAGGAGAAGTGATGCTTCACAAATCCTCCCCCAAAAGACAACTAACCTGGCTCCCCTTTCTGCGTCCTAGCTGGGAACCAGGAGAACAATTTCCAACTGAGCCGGGAGGGGAAGCTGCAAGTGCTGCGGGATCTGGACCGGGAGAAGGAGCCGTACTACTCCATCATTGTCAAAGCGTCCAGCCAGAGGAACTGGACACCACCCAGGGGCCAGCGGGCGAGCAGGGCCCAGACCTGGGACCTCAGCACAGACTTGACGCTTCAGGAGGTGCGCATCTTCCTGGAGGACATCAATGACCAGGCACCACAGTTCACCAAGGCGGAGTACACAGCGGGTAAGGGGTGCCAGGCTGCACCCAGGGCGCATGCTCTGGTCTTCAGCACCCAGAGCAGGTGACGCTCCAGGGAAAAACCTGTTTTCTCCAAGGAGGCTCTTGGAGAAAGGGAGTAGAAATGGTCAGACAAGAAGAACCAAGCCCATGGTTCATGTGTTAGTGGTGGCACTGAGGAGGAAAGGTTCCCTCTGTAGTCTCCCTGCCTGGCTCCAGCTCTCCTTCCCTTCTCTCCCTCAAAGGGGTTGCCACAGATGCCAAAGTGGGTTCGGAGCTCATCAGAGTCCTAGCTGTGGACGCCGATGTGGGAAATAACAGCCTGGTCTTGTACAGCATCCTGGGGATCCGCTACATCAAGCAGCACTCCAACGACTCCGAGGAGGTGGCCAACATCTTCAGCATCGGTACATGTGCCAGAGGCATCCTCGTGGCCAGGGCCACCAGGGAGCACCAGCCAACTACCCTTATTCACATCTCCTCCACTTACCCACAAGACAGGCTCTGGCTTTGCATGAGGAAATTTGAAGGGGCTGCAGTGGCTTGTCCACCAGGACCTGTTTTTTCATAGGCCATACTCCAAAGGACACATAGAGCTGTCCACCACGTCCTTTTCCACGTCCTCCAAAGGTTTTGTTTCAGGGCCCTTTACTGAGATTAAAGGGGTGTGTAAAAGAGAGCAGAGTCCCCCATCAAAGTGCCGGGAGAAACAGCAAAAGGCCCAAAGTGCGAGGCTTGTGGTCCAGGCACTTGCAGTGCCCCTCAGCCCTTTGGCTGGCCCAGTCATAAAGGCAGCCGAGACCCTACTCTACCTAATCATGGGTTGTGCTCATCCTTTCCCCAGGCACCCTTGACGGAATCCTGCGAACCTTCGACCTGTTCACAGCCTACAACCCCGGGTACTTTGTGGTGGACATCATGGCTTCTGACCTTGTGGGCCACAATGACACGGCCATCGTGGGGATTTATATCCTGCGAGACGATCAGCGGGTCAAAATCATCATCAACGAGATTCCTGACAAGGTCAGGCAGTTTGAGGAGGAGTTCATCAGCCTGCTCTCCAACATCACAGGGGCCATCGTCAACACGGATGATGTGCAGGTAACCACCTTCACCCATCGCTTCACTGGGACTCTGTCCTTAGGGGATACCCTGACACAGAAACCCATCCACAATGTTTCCACCAACATCACTTCCAAAAGAGATGTGGGAAGATGTGGGTTGAGATTATCAAAAACATGGTAGCCTGCTGGAAGACACTTGGGTTGGAGGTCTTTAATGGAAGGGGCCCCGTGCGAGTCCTGAGGGCCTCCTGCTCTGCAAGCCCACCTTGGGTTGTGCTCAGGAGATGCCCTGAGCCCAATGCTGCAGACCTTGCTGCTGTCTCTCCCCAGTTCCACGTCGACAAGAAAGGCCGGGTGAACTTTGCGCAGACAGAGCTGCTGATCCACGTGGTGAACAGGGAAACCAACCGGATTCTGGACGTGGAGCGGTGCGTTGCCCGGCCCTTCATGCGGCCTGCCGCCGCTCAGGCTTGTGGAGTACCCAAGGAATGTCATCAAACACGGCATGCCTGAGCAAGGCGAGGGGTCCCCCGTCAGCCGCTGTGTCCCTCCTCTTCCCAGAGTAATCCAGATGATCGATGAGAACAAGGAGCAGCTGAGGAACCTCTTCAGGAACTACAATGTGCTGGACGTGCAGCCCGCCATCACTGCCCGGGCTCCGGACGACCTTTCGGCTCTGCAGGTAACAGAGGCCTCCCGATCCCCTGGAGAAGCTTTTTGCCCAGTTAAGGTCATGCAAGTGCCCGGAGGGAGGTGCTGGTTGAGTYCCAGACGTTGCTGATCCCCCTGTCTCTCCCAGATGGCAATTATTGTGCTGGCCGTTCTCCTCTTCCTGGCCGCCATGCTCTTCATCCTCATGAACTGGTACTACCGAACAGTGTGAGTTGCCGTGGGGGTATGAGCTCTCCTTGCCGTGCTTGCATTGGTGCGCATGGCCGTTGCAGGTCTCCGTGCCTCTCCTCTGATGCATCTTCCCTGATTTCCTCTGTGTCTTTGTTTTGCAGCCACAAAAGAAAATTGAAAGCGATAGTGGCGGGCTCCACAGGTGAGCCACCATGGGGGTCTCCTGCCGAGAAGCAGAGCGAGGTCTACCTGGAGAACGTCCCTCTGGGGAGGTCCTGCCCGCCAGAGCGTGGGCGCTGGGCACAGGGAGCCGACTGGGTGCTGGGTGGGCATGCGGCTGTGCCCCCAGCCATGACGAAGGGCAAACCCCGCTCTGCCTCTCTGCAGGGAACCGGGGCTTCATGGACATCATGGATATGCCAAACACCAACAAATACTCCTTTGACGGGTGAGTCCTGACCCTCCCCAGGGTCAGGTCTCATGAGGGGCTCCAGTGTGCTCATGCACAGGGGAAGCTGGCTGTTTTTATGGTCTTTGCCTTGTATTAACATCTGTGTGTCCTCCCGCGGCAGGGCGAACCCCGTGTGGCTGGACCCCTTCTGCAGGAACATGGAGCTGGCGGCGCAGGCGGAGCACGAGGACGACCTGCCCGAGAACCTGAGCGAAATCACCGACCTGTGGAACAGCCCAGCCAGGACCCATGTGAGACGGGGCATGGGCTGCTCCTCAGCACCCCATGTGGTTCCCAGCATGGAGCCCAGCGTGGGGCAGGGTGGTGGCAATCGGCCTCTGTCACGGTGCTGGGGTTCCGCACCGATGGTGCCCGGGCTTGCTGAGGGGGTCACCGAGCTCCTGGTGCGAGGGGATGACAACCGAGGTTACCCAGGGTGGGAAGGAGATGGAGACCTCTCTGCTGCCCTCATGCCAAGGCTTGTGGTCCCCGTCATCCCCCAGGGCACCTTCGGCAGAGAGCCCTCGGCGGCCAAGCCCGAGGACGACCGCTACCTGCGCGCCGCCATCCAGGAGTACGACAACATCGCCAAGCTGGGGCAGATCATGCGCGAGGGGCCCATCAAGGTGAGCGGGGCCGCGGCGGGCTCGCCGCCCGCACCTCCGGCTTCCAGGGCGGCCGCGAGGGCCCGCTCGGCTCCGGGATGTGCCGGGAAGGGGCCAACTGCTCCCGGGGCGGGACGGAGGGCGCTGCGGCGGGTAACGGTCCTCTCTCCCGCTCCGCCCAGGGCTCGCTCTTGAAGGTGGTCCTGGATGATTACATGCGCTTGAAAAAGCTCTTTGCGCAGCGGATGGTGCATAAGGCCACCGCCAGCGTGGGGGACCGCTCCTCGGTCACGGAGGTAGACGGGGGGCGCGTGCCATGGGGAAACGTGTGTGCCGTGCCCTCTGGGATGCCGTGCCTCCTCCCGGCCTTCGCGGCCTCTGACCGAGCACGTCCTGCCGGCCTCCATGAGCAGCTCCCGCACCCACGGGAGTCCCCGTGCTCAGAAGCGGCTCCGCTCGTAGCCCTCGAGCCCATGAGGCCCCTAGGCGCCTGCTTCCCAAGAGGAGGCTCCTGGTGCCGGTGCTGATCCCTGCGCGGCCTCTTGCAGCTGATCCAGAAGGAGCTGGACGAGGACGAGGAGCCGGGCTCGGGGCAGGGCAGCCTGCGCTTCCGGCACAAGCAGCCCGTGGAGCTCAAGGGAGCCGACGGCATCCACGTGGTGCACGGCAGCACGGGCACGCTGCTCCCCGCCGACCTCAACAGCCTGCCCGAGGACGACCAGAAGGGCCTGGGCCGCTCGCTGGAGACGCTGGCGGCCGACTGCGGCGCCTACAGCGAGCACAACGCCCGCACCGAGTCGGCCAAGTCGACGCCGCTGCACAAGATGCGGGAGGTGATCGTGGAGAGCCCGCTGGAGATCACGGAGCTATGACCGGCGGCGGCAGCGCCCGCCCGGCTCCACGGAAGGGCTCGCAGGACCGGCCTGGCGTGTCATTTTACTCGCGTGTCGTTTAATCATGGAACCATTAATTATTTTTTTTTATTTTTCTTATAAAAGAAGAGAGAAAAAAAGATTTTTTTTTCCAAAAAAAAAGAAAAATTAAAAAAAAAAAAATAAAAAGGAGCAAAGCAGGGGCAAGCGTTTGGAGGCCGACTGTGCCCCAGGGAGCCCGGCGGCACCGCGGTCGCCCCTCCTGCCCCAAGATGCATGCCGGGGGGCTCCGCTTGCCATTGCTGTGTGCTGTCACCCTTTCCCGAAAGGAAAGCATCCCCCCTCAAAAAATAAAACGAAAAAAAGGACATTTTTTTCCCCCATTTTGCCGGCTTTACCAAAACATAGTGCGATGTGGAAAGGAGAAGGTGGCGGCGGCGGCGAGAGCCCGGCGGCAGCTGGGGCTGCCCACGTGGAGCGTTCGTGTGTACGTCCCCGTCCCCGTCCCCGCTCCCGCCCCAGCCCTGCGGCGCCCCCGGGGACGGGGCTGTCACGGGAACCCCAAATACACTCTCTATGGCTTTGGTTAAGCTGTCTGTCTGTCTGTCGTCCTTGGGGTCAGGGGGGACCGCGTGCATCCCGCRTGCTCCATGCCGCGTGAAGCAGCTCGTGCTGCTCTTAAACAGCAAAAAGAAAAAGCTCCTCTTATATTTATTAGCACTCCCCACCCAAAAAAACTCTATATATCTTTAGCTATTGAAGCACATATGTGCCTCTGTCTCCAGCGATGCACCTGATGGRACAGCAGAATGAAGGCACCGCGGCCTCTTTTGTTTTAATATATATATATATATTTATATACATACACACACACACACAAACACATATATATGTTTTTTAACTCTTTCTCAGCTTATCACGTCCATCCTTTTTTCTCCCCTCTCCCCCCGACCCCAAAGAGGCGAGCGTGCCAAGGCAGGCGCCGGGCCGAGGCGGGCCCCGCTCCGCTCGCCCGCAGCAGCCTCCGGGCGCAGCTCCTAGCCCCACACGTGCCGCTTGCAATGCTCGAGGGCCTGCGGAGGGGGGACAGAGACGGCGTGAGCAAGGGGGGACCACGGGTAGGTACGTGCATGGACCTCGAGGTGGTCCCTGCTCCCCGGGCACTCACGTCGCAGGCGGCGGCGGTGGCAACGCTCTGGCACCAGTACTCGGGGCCCTGGGCGCAGGGGTCGGAACCCCCGTGCTCTTCATCCTCCTCGTCATCGTCCTCCTCCTCGGGCGAGTCGCAGGCTCGCAGTTTCTGAAGGAAGAGGAACCGGATCGTGGACAAAAGTGCCGGGACGGGGTCGGGTGGTCGGCGCGCGGAGCGGGCACTCACGGTGCAGACGAAGGTGGGGTCCATCATCTGCACGAGGAGCCGCACGGCCGCCGGCTCGTACTGCATGACGAGCGCCTCGCACTGCGATGGGGAGCAGAGTGACGGGGTCACGGTGGTGACGGGGCCGGGCGGCGTGGGGCCGGGACCCCGCGTACCTTGCCCGTGAGCGGCGGCGGCAGCAGCTCGCAGCCCCGGTCGAGCACGTCGCCCAGCTCGGCCAACGTCTCGTTCTTGAGCAGCTCGTTGTCAAAGTAGGTGATGACGATCTGGCAGACGTTGCAGAAGGCGCCGGCCGAGAGGCGCTCRAGCGCCGCCGCCCCGCGCCCCGCGCCCGCGGCGCCCTTGGGGCAGCAGCGCAGCAGGGCGCACACGGCCTGCGGGTCGGTGGCCTGCAGCAGCATGACGAGCACCGCTTTGCCGTAGGAGTCCACGAAGTCCCGGCACTGGCCCACGACGCCGCGCGGCAGCAGGTCGCACACCTTCTCCATGTCGTCGACCAGCTGCGCCTGCGGGGGCGGCCGCCGTGTCACCGCACGGCACCCAGCAGCGCCCCRCGGGCGCCGTGACCTACGCACGGCGATGGGTGCCCACCTCGGTGCCGTTGGTCTCCAGGAGGCTCTCGGCCGCCTTCACAGCCGCCTGGCACACGTCGCAGAGCGCGGTGCTGCCCTCCGGGCCCTGCCACGTGGGAGCTATAGGGAATCCCGGACGCACGCAGCCACGCCCCACGCCGCGGCCCTGAGCGCCGTGGGGCACCCGCGGGCTCGGTCGCCCCCCACTTACCACATGGGGGGCGCGCAGCGCGCGCAGCACGGCCTCGGCGAGCGGCGGCAGCGGCGGCGCGCAGGCCCCTGCCAGCGCGCACAGCGCCCGCGGCTCCTGCGGGCACGGCAAGGGCTGGGGTGCCGCCGGCACACGGCGCCCTCGCCACCCCCTCGGCGCCCTCACCACCCCCTCGGCGCCCCTTTTAGAGCAATATATCTGAATAACGGGAGCGAGCTGCTTACCGCGTGCTGCAGCAGGCGCGCGGCCACCTCCGCGTACGCCGCCACGTAGCGCCGGCACTGCCAGGAGGAGGTGACCCCGGCTCAGCCCACGGTGCCCACGGCGCGTCCCGCCGCGTCCCGTTGCACCTCCTTACCTCGGGGGCCAGCAGCGGCCCCAGGCGCTCGCAGTGGCCGCGCAGGCTGGCGGCGAGGTCGCCGGCGC